TCAAAGGAAACCCATGGTTCATGATCATGTCATAGATTCATAGACTGGTTTGGGTTGGAAGGGACCTTAAAGATCATCCAGTTCTACCCCCTGCCATGGGCAGGGACACCTTCCACTAAAACAGGTTGCTCAGGTTTAATCTGGTCTTGAACACTTGCAGGGATGGGGCATCCACAACTTCGGTGAGCAACCTGTTCCAGTGCCTCACCACCCTCACCGTAAAGAATTTCTTCCTAATATCTAGTCTAAATCTACTCTATTTCAGTTTAAAGTCACTCCCCCTTGTCCTGTCACTACATGCCCTTGTAAAAAGTCCCTCTTCAGTTCTCTGGTAGCCCCTTCAGGTACTGGAAGGTGCTATAAGGTCCCTCTGGAGCCTTCTCCTCTCCAGGTTGAACAGCCCCAGCTCTCACCCTGTCTTCATAGGAGAAGTGCTCCAGCCCTGTGATCAACTTAGCGGTTCTCATTCCAACAGGTCAATGTCTTTGTTGTGTTAGGGATCCCAGACATGGATACACTACTCCAGGATCTCACAAAGGCAGCACAGAGGGTTAGAATCACCTCTGTCAACCTGCTGGTTCCAGACAAGTTTTGTCAAGTATGCACTTTGCCTGGTACTCCCGCCCCCGGCCAATATTTTCACATAATCCTAAAGGTGTAAGTACCTTTAATTATGGAGTTATGGAATTGTACAATTTGATAGGGACCTTCAGAGATCTTCTCCCCAACTCTCTGCTTGAAGCAGTGCAACAGTCTATTCAGACTCCAAAAGCCTCCAAGGATGGAGATTTTCCAGTTTGTTAGGGTAATATGCTCATATGCCTCTTCATCATGAACAATCCCTCCTGGTTTACTCAGCCACCTGGTCTACTGACACCTGACAGGATGAACCTGTCTCAGATGGGCAAAAGAGTTCTAGCACAGGAGCTCACAGGGCTTGTTGACAGGGCTTTAAATTAGTTTGGAAGGAGGAAAGGGAAAATACCAGGCTTGTCAGTGATGAGCCATGGGATGGTGTGCCAAAATTTGAGGAAATGAGCACTAATGGGATCCCTCAATCTGCCTCAGGAGGTGTTGGCTACAGTATACCATTCCTGAAATGTTTCTACACCAAAGCACACAGCATGAGGAACTAACAGGATGATGTCGAAGCTTTGATCCAGTCCCAGAGATTTGACATCACTGTCGTAAGTGAAACCTGGTGGGATGACAGCTGTGACTGGAGTGCAAACCTGGTGGGATGACAGCTGTGACTGGAGTGCCCTGTTGGATGGTTACAGACTCTTTTGGAGGGATAGGCAGGGCAGAAGAGTCAGAGGGGTGGGACTGCATGTAATAGAAGGGTTAGAATGTGTGGAGCTCACAGTTGGCAATGGCACAGTTGAAAGTCTCTGGATAAGAATCAAGGAGTGAACAAATTATGTGGATTTCATCGTGGGAGTCTCTGCAGACCTCCCAGCCAGGATGATGACGCCAACTAATTATTCTTTGAGGAACTAAGGGACACTTCCAAGTCAACTGCCCTTATCCTTATGGACTGGAAACATCACACAACCTGGTACAACCCAGGCCAAAAGATTCCTAAAAAACCTGGATGACAACTTTAGGGAACAAGTCCTAAGGGAGACAACTTGGAAGAAGGCCCTCCTTGATCTGCTGCTTGTCAACAGAGCAGTTCTCGTGAGCTAAGTCGATTGGTGGCCTCTTCGCCACAGTGACTGTGAAGTGATCGAGTTTAAAATCTCTGTTGACAGAAGGAAAAGTGGCAGCAAAACCACAACTCTGGCCACAAGGAGAGCAGACTTCAGGCTGCTCAGGGAATTAGTAAGTAAAGTCCCCTGGGAAAATGTTTTTTGCAGGTGCTGGGACCCATCAGTGCTGGTCACTTTTTAAACATTACCTCCCAAGGGCACAGGAGTAGCACTTCCCAAATGTTGGAAGTCAAGCAGGCAAGGCAGAAGGCCAGTTTGGCTGAGCAGGGATCTTCTTGTAGAAATAAGGCAAAATAGGAAGCTGTATGCCCAGTGGAAGCAAGGTCAAGTGACATGGGAAGAATATAGAGATTCTGCTTGCCACTGTAGGGAGGAAATTTGTGCAGCCAAAGCTGAACTGGAGTTGAAGCTGCCAGAGATGTGGGGGACAATAAAAGATATTAATGGCAAAAGTTAGTGTAGAAATAACATTGGCCTGTTACAGGATGAGGATGGCCACCTCACAAACAGGGACAGAGACAAGGCAGGGGTGTTAAAGGCTTTCTTTTCCTCTGTCTTCAACATGGATGATGAACCAAGGGGGTCTCACTGGCCTGGGCTGGAGACCAATGACTGTTCTGAGAATGATCAACTCCCAGTCAACCATGAAATTGTCCGGGATCTGCTGCTCCAGCTGGATCCCTAGAAATTCTATGGGGCCTGATGGGATTCATCTGAGAATTCTCAAAGAGGATGTCATCACAAAACCTCTCTTGATGATTATTTTTGAGGGGTCCTGGGAATCCTGAGAGGTCCCAGCTGACTGGAAGCTGGCGAACGTTTTCCTGATTTTCAAGAAAGGCAAGAAGCAGGATCCCAGAAACTACAGGCCTGTCAGTCTCACTTCAGTGCCTGGTAAAATCATGGAAAAGATTATTCTGGGAGGTATTGAGAAACACCTGAAAGACAATGCAGTCATTGGTCACAGCCACCATGGCTTCATGAGAGGAAAGTCCTGCTTATCAAACCTGATTTCCCTTTATGACAAGGTAACCCACGTAGTTGATCAAGGGAAGCCAGTTGATGTCATCTTTATGGATTTCAGTAAAGCTTTTGATACTGTCCTCTCACAGGATCCTGCCAGACAAAATGTCCAGCACACAGTTGAATAACCCTGTCACCCAGTAGGTGAACAATTGGCTCATGGGTTGGGCACAAAGAGTTAAAGTGAATGGGGTGACATCAGACTGGTGACCTGTCACTAGTGGGGTTCCCAAGGGCTCCATCCTCAGCCCAGTTCTCTTCAACATCCTCATTAACGCCTTGGACAGAGGACTCAAAGGAATACTAATTAGGTTTGCCAATGATACTAAATTGGGCACACTGCTGGCTCATGTTCAGCTTCCTGTCAATCCAAACTCCCAGGTCCCTTTCTGCCTGGCTGCTCTCCAGCCACTCTTTCCCCATCCTGAAGCGCTGCAGGGGGTTGTTGTGGCCAAAGTGCAGGACCCGGCACTTGGCCTTGTTGAACCTCATGACCTTCTAACAGGTTCTTCTAGCCCCGTTATCCCAGCAGCGGAGCAGCCAGGTAAGAATTCGTTCACGAGGCTGGTGGCTGTAATCTCTCCGCAATTCCCAAAGTTCTGATGGGCTCAGGGACTGGGTAACTTCATTCTCCTGTCTGATTTACTCTCTGCTTCTCTAATGTGGAACTGCTTCCGCTTCCTCTAGTGACTCACCAGCTATTTGTCCTGCCTCCCCTTCTTCTCTTGGAGGCACAGGTGGGGTAGATCCTTCTCCTTCTTCCTCCCTTACTAATCGCAGAGGTAGGCCTGTAGGTGCTGTAGATTTCCTTACCCATGTCTTCATTTTCACTACAGGGGCAATAATGACTTCAGATGTCGTAGTTTGGGTCTCTGTCTCAGTCATAGTCTTTTTAGAGTATCGAACTGCAGCTCAATAAGCACAGGCCAGGCCCCAGTACAGGGCAAGAAGTTGCTGGGTTTGATCGGGGTAGGCAAGGCATCCTTCCATTAAACAACGTGTCAGTTTGTTGGGGTTGAATACTTGTTCTGATGTGAAGTCCCAGGCAATGGGGGGTGTTAAACACCCTAAGAACCTGCCTAAATTCATCCACATGCCCTGCCACCCAGGAACTGGGGCCTTTAAGGCACATCTCAGTAAATTCTCTCTCAAAGGTTGTTTTGTCCTGCAGCAAGGCAACAAAGACAATACTACAGTCCCCAATCCCCATAACGTTCTCATAGTGTTGGTTATAAGCAGTCCCATGGCCAGACAACTCAAGTAAGAGTTAGTAAAGATCATTGGTACTTTCATTGCAAAGCCATCTATGTCAAAACTAAAAAGGGAAAGTAAGTTGTATCCGTCCCCCTGGAGGTCTTTCAAAGTTCCACATCTCAGAAAGACTATTAGTAAAAGTACAAGTATAAATACTAAATCTGGGTGTAAGGCCATGTTTTATATTAGTATGTCCCCAAGTTAACAAAAACAAAAAGATAAGCAAGGCAGTGTTTATATAAACAACCTTTCTTGGTAGTCCTCCCGGGTTTCAGCACCAGAATTGTTATTGTTTACCTTGGCTGAATGCCAGGTATCCACCGGGCCTGTGCCCAGCCTCCCCCTGCAGGAGAGGGGAGGAGGAAAGACGGAAAAGGAAAAAACCTGCGAAACCGACCTTGCTAAGAAAGGCGGTTTAATATTTACACAGAGAGGAAAAAAACTACAAGCACTATACACCCAGAGAGGAACTAACAACTTCCCCACGAGAACGCTCTCCTCCTGCGAAGAAACGGCCTGACTATTCTGTGCAGCCACCCGGAAGAGAAGAGAGAGGCCTTGCTTCCTTCTCATGTCTTGTATATCAGAGCTGACGTAACATGGTATGGAATTGCTTATTGGCACAATATGAATCAGGTCATCTATCTAGTTCCTTTTCCCTTCCAGGAAGGGTAACAAACCCATTACAGTTTTGTAAGCTCACGTCCAAAGAAACTCAAACTCTTTAGGAAAAGAAATAAAAGGACTTGTTTCCACACCCAGAGAATATACTGCAAATAAATTTTTCCCTTCTCTAATTATGAAAGTATAAGTACTAATAGTTTCTCATGTTCAGTTGCTGTGGTTCCAGTGGAAAATCAATGAAACATGTTTTACTGCATGTATTAATTAGCACATGTTTAAGAAATAAAGCAGAGCTAGGAAGAAACCAGTATTTTTAACTTAATGCTAATTTTAAATGTGTAGAGACATTAAAACATTACCACAAGTATCAGTTCATCAGTTCATGTTTATTAAAATATTACTTAATAGTTATACAAAATATATTTCAACTTTTCCAGAAGAAAAAACAGAACAACTGATAAAAAAATTTTATTAGTTGGTAGCTAAAAATATCAACTGAACATTGAAAATTTTCTCATCATACAAACTCTATCTATTCTTGGTCTGTGCACACACAAAGTAAATTCTTTAAAAATTAATAATAACAATACAGAAAGATCTTCCTGAGAGTATCTAACAAAACATCCCCTTCTTCAGCATCAGGAAGCAATAACTTTATATATATTATTCCACATTTGTGCTCAATAGTATGCCATATTCACAGAGAGATACTTATTGATCTTCATCACAGTCTGTCCTATTTTGGAAATTCAATTGTCTTTGGCCTCTTTCGGGGTCTTGCAAGCAGAGAATTCGAATATGGGGACTCTTAGGCAGAGATCTAAAAATAAAGTATGCATCATTTAAACAGTGTTTCTTCTCCACAAATTTAATATTTCCATTTGATTCCTTCCATTACATATTTTCCTTAAAATAACTCCATCTTTTTAATTTGACCATCTTAAAAAAAAAAGCAACACGGGGTGAAATTCAGGCTTCACTGAACTGATATTGGACCCAGACTTCACTAAAAGCTTCAGGTAAAGACAAGGACTGATTTCCATCATGTGATTTCTAACAATTAGACTAACCTTAATTAGAGAAAAGGTACTTTTACAAAAAACCTCCAAACAAAACAGTGATGGAATACCATTTGTATTTGCCTTACAGATCCTTATAGGCACTATATACACGTGCAATCACTCGCATGCAATCACTAAGAATGAGCAAAGTTACTAAACATCCATTTACATAGGCTTCTACACTGATCATCCTAAATTATTTTTTCCTGAAGGTGCCTCCATATCTGTTAAATTTAATATTTGCTGAACATGCAACATGTAACAATGTAACAAAAGCAAACTGCACTTGAGTTATTAAACTTTTAAAAAGTAACCACACAAAAAATTCCTGTATGCTTATTAGTTTCAGAAAATCTCCACAAAACCATTTCCACTGAAATAAAAACAGAACACTACTACCCTATTTTTTATATACTCTAGTGAGGGAAGACAATTAAAATAAATCGACTTCATTTTGAAGACTGCTTAATTACCCTCTTCAGGCTTCACTGGTTACATTGGGTTCATTTAGCTGCACGGGGTTAGACAGTGACTGCTCCCTTGAGCTGGGCATGGCTTTACCAGGGACTTATGGAGGTTTTGGAACAATTTTGAGCTACTAGATCAAAAATTCAAAACATGGTGTAAGTTAGGAGTCTCTAGATCAGCAATATTAAAACTCATAAAATAAAATAAACTCAAGTGACAAACACCTTGAAAGTACTGTAGTATTAATAGAAAAAATGCTACGTCTTCTGTTAATTTTGGGAGGGGAGAGGGACTACAGGGCACTAAACAACAAGGGACCTGCTTGACAAAATAAAACATTTCAAAAAGTTGTTTTACTTAAGATAAACTGATTCAAGTCCCACTGAATTACCATATTAACAGACATTAGGTAAAGAGGAGTAAAAAAAATATTAAATTCCGAGAACTATCAGCACTGAACTGCCTAATTGTTGATGTTCTACTGCTACAAAAAGCAAAATTTCTTTCTCTTCATATTTAATTTTTTCAAGTTACACTTCTTGCAAGAGAACTTAGTAATTCCTTGTAATTTTTCTACCACAAAATAAAACACCATGGTATTACCTTATGCTTTGGGGAGTGAACAAAATGAACTGTCGATACTGCTGAAAATTAGCCCTCTCCAGAATCATATCGATGGCAATTCTTCTGTTAAGCATGTCCTAAAGACAAAAGATTTATCAGGTAGTAATGTTGACCATAGTAAGCACATCACAAAATATGATTCTAGGAACACTTACCAGAATTAATTCCTATACAGTAAAGGTTTGCTAAAGAAAAGTCTGATAACATCTAAGCTGGAGAAACATTAGGGTTAAATTCTAAAAACTAAAAATTATAGTCTGGGAAATTCTTAAACTGTACTTTTTAGTATCCATGGACAATGGAAAGCTTCTATCAGAATAATCACATACTCCTACTCACTGTTTTTCAATCAGCTAGGATATACATGTAATACTTCTCACTTTATTGATATGCTAAAAATGAAATGTATTTTAGTAGAATAATGTTTCCGGTAAAATTCTGCCCCAATAATACCTGAAAGGATTTAAGAGCTGCATGAAACCTAAGATATTATGGAGCTTGTTTTTATTAGGATTATTACTGTTATTATCATCTATTTTGAACACAACCTTTTGCATCAGGCTTTACTGAAAGAGATGCACAATGGGAAGCTGTTTCTAGCAGAGACTAACAAAGTTTTGCTGCTGTAACTGTTCCACGTGAAACTAGGGATCTAAATCTAAAATTCTTTATATGTGAAGTATATTATCTTTTTTCTCGTCTAGGTCTGTAATTCTCAGTAAATAGGTGATTGACACTGAAGACAAAATTAATGCATTTCCAACTTTGTTTCATAGAAGTAATTATTTTCTAAAACAATACCACTCTGCGTATTAATAAGGAGCAAATACATATTTAAAAAAAATTTAAAAATTGGTTAATGTCCTATCCATGGATGCTGTTAACAAAAATACAATTTACCAGTTTTAGATGACCTTAGTATTTATTATTATTCTGCATCTCAGCATCTTGGAAAGATGCTACTAAGTGAAGTATAAAAGGACTTCCTGAGTAGCAACAGTGAACTCAATTGCTATACTTGCTCTGAAAAAACCCCCACATTGATCTCAAAATTGGCAGAAACCACATGCCAAGCCCAGAAAGGCACAGCAAAATGCAGAGGCAACCTGTGACAAACACAGTAACAGCTGATTTATGATTTTTTTGCTGAACAAAGGCTTGAGCATGTACATTAACAGAAATGCTCATATCTCTGGGCACCAACTTCAGAAACAAAATAAGCTTCAAAAGACACTAAACAAAGTGAACAAGATCCCTAAATTTTGGTTTGGGGAATTTGGATATTGGTTTGGGGCTTTTTATTATTTAGTTACCAGTGGTGGTTTTAAATCTAACCAAATACAAGTAACAATACAACTATTTGACAAATTTATATAAATCGTAGTAGGAGATGTAGTTTAAGTTTAAATTATACCATGTAGACATCAAATTCATCCAAGCATCTGAAAGGAGAGTCCGTGATGTTCCACAGAGAAAGAATGTAACAAACTGTGGAGAAGGTACGTTCACCTCCTGATAAGGCTCTCAAATCAGTGAGGGAAGCTTTGTCTTCATCTCCAAACTGAACCTTGAAATAAAAATATTAAAGCAATTTTTAGACATGAGACACAGACTTACTAACAGAATCATAACTTTAACAGCAAATACATTATACATGAGCATATCACCTGAGAACAATTTTCTGCAGCTCACTGCAACTGCCATTCTGGAATGGGATGGCTCCTAACCATTTAATAACACATTTCTAGGATCACTGCAACTTCCTCTATCACAGTAAAATACAGACTGAATGACTATGCCAGTGTTTTCTTATTCAATTCTTTATTTTTGATAGCTGTTAAACAATGGTTCATAAATGTTAGCTAGTGTAGTTACATTACAGTAAAATCCAATGGTTACCAGCTACAACAGAATATCAGGTAATTGATTTACAGTGGAATTTTAAAGGCAGAAGAGTTTCTTTACTGGAATGTATGAAACATGGTGAACAGCCCTTTGGTTCCATTGATTAGGATGACATCTTGTGGCACTCCTGTAAGATAAAACTTAGGCATTTTCTTGTCCTGTTAATTGCATTACCTTTAACAAGTTCAGCAGGAAAAGAAAAATTATTTTGGAGTGGGATCTTTTCTGGGGGGGAATTGTTTTCTTTTTGCAATTTACCTTCCTTGACTAAATATAGATCTATTGTCAGAAACATGAGATATTAGCTATTAAAAATATTTATTTTGATGAAGTCAGGTAATGATTTGATATTTTATGGACTGAGTTTGATTCTTCAGATACATGTGCTACACCTGTTTAATTAGGACTGCAACAACATGTATTTATGTTGTCACTGCATATTTTTCCCCTTAATTCCTAAAACTGAAGTCTCCCACAGAAATAAAAGTATATAAACCCATGACTTTTTGGGATGTATGTTAAAAGATACAAAAAAACCCCCACAGTATTGAAGCTTTAAGTCACTAAAAGTTGTTTAAATAACAACTAGAGCCATTACACAATCACACAAATAATGAACTTCCTATCAATGAAACAGGAATGAGTTACTTTGAAAGACTTTCTAAGATGACTCAGTAGTGAATTCTTCTCCTTGGTACAAGACAACAATCTAAATTTATTTCCTGTAATCTAGCACCCCACCCATTTAAGATGGCAATGTTTTTTATTTTTTGCTAGTTTTCAACAACATTCTACAGTTTACTGTATCACAATTTGGAGAGAGAAGAACAATTTATTCTATCCTTTGCAATACAAGCCCTAGCACCTGAGATCAAAAAAAGTAATAATTAATTACATATTATGATAATTGAAATTATATAAAATAACTTACAGTTATGGAAAGTGTCTCATTCTTGTGATCAAAAAGTATTTTTCCAGAGCAACCTCGAACATGCAATAATCCCTCAAAGCTGCTTTTGCACCGTATAGAAAGGATACTTAAATCAAGCAAACAAGCATTAGGTCAGCAAGTTTTACAATACATAAAAAAGTGACAACAGATGTTTATCAACAATCCCACATCATTAAGTATTAAGGCCTGCTCCATTAATAACACTTTCCCCAAATCAATTATGCTCTTAAGTGGGTGACATTCAATCCTTAACATCTGCAGAGAATCACTGACACAAAGCAAGGAGGTAAGAAATCCAGATGTACATTTTTGTATTTTCTAGAATTTGTTTTAATAGACCGGAAGCTTTTTACACCATTTTTCCAGAACTTCAACAGACAATTACCACATTCCACTGCTCCCCTATGCAGTACTAGGACTGCACAGTAAGGAATTTACATGGCCTTTGGTAGATTCTGGGAATTAAAGAGAGTTGTGTATTAATTTCTCTGCCCACCCCCTCAATTCTAGCATATTCTAGCCCAATAGACAACACATGACAGTTCGTCCAAGAAAGAACTATGGTTCTTTAACACATTGTAAGGTGGGATTCATGCTCAACCTTGGGCACCAGGCCTAAGATTCAATTTGACATATGCGGGCACCATAAGGCAAGTATCAGATTCTGGAAGTAAATCTTGCCCACTACTATCTCTGTACTTCCACCTGCAAAGATTGGGATTCTCCTCATCATCACTATTTGTCAGGATCATACTGGCATCTCCCCCAAATCCAGATCAAAAAGTACAAAAATGCAGAGCGAACAAAGATATGCCTAATTTCTGCTGAAGGGAATGATAGATGATGAAGTGCTGCATTGGAAAAGAGACCATCAATCCTTTTAAAGGGAGGCCACCACAAAATCTTCATGGATACATATAGGATACTAAGGAACTGAAGCAAGAAAGAAGAGGTGCACTCCCAGTATGGAGAAGAAGCTGTCAAATTATAGAATCTGAATAGAGATCTTCAAATTTTTTCAGCATATGGCAGAGAAAAAGTGCTTGGCCCACAAAGAAATTATGTGAGCTCAGCACCAGTAATTATATTCAATAAAAATGGGTGACAGTCCAGATTATTTCAATTCTAGAACGTTGATGATATTCTACTGACCAAAATCAGCACTCAGACATAGCTGCCTTGGATGAAGTCAGCACAGTCGAGGTCTTTGGTGTGAAGCAAAATAAGCCTCCACTATCACACTGCTTCTCCAGCTGTCAGTCCAGGCTTCCTCTAAACTGTCAGGAATGACAGGACTGAAACTGAGAGCAAGCTTAGGTTACAAAGATTGTTGTGAACACTGGCCTAAAGACAGTGCATTCTCACTGGTCTGCTCTTTAATTTTCACCCTGGAATATGGGAACATACTTAGATGTCAGTTTATCTGAAACCTGAAATTACAGTAAAATTAACTCACCGTAGGAATTGCTGATACGCTTTGACCCTCTCTGCCATGATTCTTTCCAGCACTCTAAAAAATTTCTTTAAATTCTTTACTTTACTGCTTGCATCCTCATATCTTTCCTTTGCATCATGAAATTGCCTGTTTTGATTAACAGAAAGTTTAGTTAGCATGCATTACATTAAAACTAAGCTATTGTTGTATATGCTGAAAATCATTTTGATAAAATATTCAAATGAAAACTCTTTTGTAAGAATTTATGTTAAATCTAAAAGCATTTGATTGTCAAATAAGACACTGTTAACAAATAAAAAATGGTCAAAAATTAAATCTTATTTCTATTTTTAATTCTTTTGAAAATAAACTCTGGCATCAAGGAGAATGAATGATTGGGTTCCCCATGCTCAAGAATATCCGAGGGGAGTTCTCCCTTGCAAGACACTGTATTCAAAACATCAAGTAACTTTCTAACTTCTGCATTAGTTACTCAAACTAGAAGTATGATAACACTCAATGCATCAGAGAACAATGGTGAGTTATGTTTGTGTAGTCATAACTGGGATACTTCTGAACACTAAGAGGGTACCTAATTACTGGTAATGTCATATATATAGTACAGCTGCTGTTTAAAATCACTGGAGGGTTTTTCAGGACTCCTAAATCTGTTCAGTACTGATTTAGGTCTGCGGTTGACTGCGAATCAGTACATTTCCATACCTTCACACACAGCTTAAGTACTAAAAACACACATAAATGCACAGTGAGTCACTAAGAAAACTCCTCCTTCCCCTCTCTTTTCCATCTTACCTGAACAACTTTACACAGTTAAGATGACTTACTGTATTATTTCTTCTCTGTTTCCATGGAGACTAGTTTCTGATTTTATCTTCTCTCTGAAGCGATTCATTTCTGCATCAAGGCTCTTAACAGTCCTGCTGACCTGGATGCGCTCCGGGTAGATTTGCCTGGCCTGCGCCGTTTTTTCCTAAAGTAATGTTTGAAGCTCAACTAATTGATACATTTTTTTAAAAATCTGTTTAGTCCTCGCAATGAATATTTTAGGCTATGGAAAAACACGGTCTCCAAACAAGACAATGTTTTTGTGCTGCTCTTTGTGTATTCATCACAGAAAACCCAGTTAACAATTTTATTAACGATATTTATAGGTAGATAGTTATTTCAGTGCCAAGAACTGTATCCATCTCAGATTTTTGATAATATCACAGTTATTTAGCTAATACAGATAAATAAGGAATGGAAATCACCATAATTAAATAGTCTTCCAAAAGGCTTTGTGGATGTCATTTCCAAGTTAGTTAATAAAGCTTAGCTAAGCCTTCAAAAGATCAGATATGGGGTCTGTACAATGAAAAACATAGCATCCAAGAAACCAGAACAGGATTATTCAATTTAACTTAAAATGCAAATTTTAAGGTTAAGTCATTTTTATCTTCTCATTGCAAAAAACAGAAGAAATAGTCCTAGATGGATAATCCCTAGCTTATCTGTCAAGACAGAAATTGTGTCCTGCCAGAAAAAAAGAGGCCTCAATTCACTTACACAAAATTACTTTTACTTGATTCTGAAGGTCAGGTTACGACATACCTGAGAGAATACTCAGTGTAGCTGAGTATTAACATGGTCTGTATGTCACACAACTGGAATGATTTATTATTAAATATTAGAAGGATCATGACCATCTGATTTCAATAAAGAAAAAAAAAATCACACATACCTCTAGTTCCTTTTCTTTGGCAGCCAGCAATTCTTTGAGCTTTTCTATGCAAGCCAAGTGTTCTTTCTGTTTGTCTGCATAGTGCTGCAAATGGCGTTTACTGCTTTCCATTTCTGACTCAGCCTGGTTTAATTCATCCTGTTTGGAACAAATCATGATGAGAGCTGTTTGGGGTAGATTCCTGAGAATCTCTCCACATGTTTATGGACTTATCACAGGTTGTTTTTAACACAGTCTAATTGATTTTCCTTTCAGTAAGATTACTCCTTCTAGAGTCCAGGAGCTTTAACAGCAGCTTATCAGAGAGTCTATACTCAATTCTGACAAGGACATATTAAATACATGCAATGATTTTAGGAATCATATCTTGAAGTGATGTTTTATTCTTTGAAAAAGCCATCCTTTCTCCTAAAACTCAAAAATATATATTTATTTTTTACACTACATTCTACCCAGAATTTCTGATGACTGTGTAAAGACATCAACCAGAACTGCATTTCTGTGTGAAAATTCAGTGTCCTGTTATACCTGTAATACAAAGTCATAGAATTATAGAATAGTTAAGGTTGAAAAAGACCTTTAAAATCATCAAGTCAAACCATCAACCCAGCACCACCAGCATAAACACCACTAAACCATGTCCTCCAGTGCAATTTCCACACATTTTTGAATGCTTCCAGGGATGGTGACTCCACCACCTGCCTGGGCAGTTCGTTCCACTGTTTTACCACCCCTTCTGTGAAAATTTTTTTCCTAATATCTAATCTAAACCTCCCCTTGTGCAATTTGAGGCCATTTCCTCTGTTATCTGTGAGAAGAGACCGAGCCCCACCTCGCTACAACCTCCTTTCAGGTAGCTGTAACGTGGTAAGGTCCTCCTGAGTCTCCTTTTCTCCAGGCTAAACAATCCCAGTTCCCTCAGCCGCTCCTCACAGGAGCTGTGCTCCAGACCCTTCCCCAGCAACTTCTATACTATATAAGTGTTGATACTGTTGAAGTGATATATCTTTCCAGAGAAGCAAAGAGGTACAAAGAATGACATAAATTAAGGCATAATTTTCTTCCTCGTCCCTGTCCACTAGATGGCTTAACAATCAACAAGAAAAAAAACCCAAACCAAATAAAAAAAAACAAATAAAAACCACCCTGAACCCCCAAAATGACAAACAAGAAAACCAAACATCAACAACAATAATAGATGCTCTTACTTTTTTCAAATCCTATCTTAAAGCCACAACTTACAGGTTATTAAACAACTGTAGAACACTTAACAACACATCTAATTTAAAACCCTTTCAGGAATTTTAGAGCCGCCCTCTATTGTGTTCAGTGTTCCAAATAACAAGCAATAATAATGTTCTCATATTCTGAATAGGTCTATTCTCTTTTCTTACACAGTGGTTCTTTTAAAATAGATCATATATCTAGAATTTCCATATTAGATACATTAGAACATATTTATTGGTTGCTTTCCTGACCTCTTTCCTTCCTCTTTTGTTTGCTCTTACTTTTTTAATTTGGGCTGACTACATAGCAATATACAGTTTAAGTGAGACATATAAGAAATTAGGATAGTGATCCTTCTACATTTTTCCTCATTCCATCCTTCTACAAGTTTACAATACTGTAAATGTGATGGACTCTTATTTCTGTTTTCCATTTTCAAACCATTAGTTCTTGCCAATATCACATTTTCCATGTCACCACTCTGCTATTTATCTTCAGTCTTGGTATTTCTCTGCCTTTTACAGGTGCCTTCTGTAGTCTTGGATAATTAAAACTAGGTACTGGTACCTTCTGGGATTATGCAACTTCATAGAATAACAACCACTTCATACAGAAGTTCAAATGCTATTTCAAGAAATAAACAGTTATGAACATTCTTAGCCAAGGCTTCCTAGAAAGAAACAAGCCAAACCAGCAAATACGATGCACAAAAACGGAAAGCCAAGGAAACTATTTTTCCTTCCTTTTCACTCCATGGCTAAAGATACCTGGAAATGAACTCTCTTTGAACATAAAACACTACAGCAACTACACTTAACAACCAACATCACCTTCAAAATATTGCCAAGATTATTTCTCAACATGCTCTAGATGGAATGCTCCATTTCCATTTTATAGGCAGACCTTAAGTGTATGAGGAAGCAGTACGATCTTTTCTCCTGCCTCACCTCTACTTAACCTGATTCTCCTTGCCACACAAATGGAGCAAATTAAAAAATACAATATGAAATTATTATTACCTTAATTGGACCAGCAACAACTTCTACTTCATGAATTTTTTCTTTCACTTCTTTTAATTTTTTTTCAGCTTCCAGGAGAATATTTTTCAGTTCTTCCATTTTTCTGCTTTGTAGTTGCATGTCTTCTTTTACAGATTCCATCTTAGCCTTATTTTCTTCAGCTTCATCTTGCTGTCAAAATATATTAAAGTGAGGAATAATAAAAGGAAACATACATTTGTAAATTACTGTACCAGATTTTAATTTTACTATCAGGGTACAATATTACATGAAGTACTCTAAAATTCTAATATGAACATGAGCAGCTCAATGTAATTGTCATGAAAGCCTAAAAGAAGAGACTGACAAATCTTGTAGGAGACCACTAAATCAAACTCCAAAATAAAAGTGGAATTTCATAATTATAAAGGACTTTATTAGGGAGTTGTGACGAAAAAAATGAAAAGAATAAGGAAACTTCCTTCAGGATCCATGACAGAATATGTACATACAGTATACAAAGGAATACAGGAAGAGTAAGTGGATTGTTGTTGTTATTTAGAAAACAGACCATTCCTAAGGAATTATCACCATACATACTTTCTGATTCACAAAGACAAATATTGCAAAACCTGGGAAAAATACGTAAATGAAACTTTGTACTGCTGAGTCTTCTTCACGATCAAACAATTGTTAAATCAAGGTAGCAATGAAAATCAATACCAAGTGAAAAAAGAGCAATTAATCCATAGTAGTGGTCAGAAAGCACAGAAAACACAAAAACCAAAATCCAAGAAAGGAATGAGGAGAAGCAAATACATACATCTAACAGCTGCATAGGACCATTAACAGAAATCAACTGTAAAAACGTTGATGTTGAACAAGCAAGTGTCCAGTAATTTTTAAAAAGGAAGATATTCTCCTACAAAAAACTAATAAACTATCTTCCATCTCATCAAATAATATACTTTTTTTAAAAAAAACCCAACAGAATTAAATTATCTGGAAAAGAGAAACTCTGTAAGAGCTTTCAGAATCTGTACTGATTCTTTACTTTTTGAATAAATTTTGAAATGTTTAGTTACATACACATGTGTGTATACACACTGAAAGACAGACTACCGAAAAAAGGGTGAGTTCGTGCCAACACCAGATGCAATTAAAGCAAAAAAAAATCTGGTCAACTTAGACTCTTGTTGATCCCACATAAAACAGTGGGGAAACCGCCATGGAATTTAACTGAAACAACTGCAGTCAAGATTACTATTAGCAGCATAATTCTCAGAATTAAATCTTGGCCATCTACACATCAGCATATTACAGAGCAACAGTTCAAATTCACAGCCACCAATACACAAATCACAATAGATCATCAAAAATTTTCTCTATTCTTAAACTACTTTGCACACATTCTAAGAACACACTGATAACAATAAGAACTTTGAAGGAACCATCATCCTACCATATCCGTCCCTAGGGCAATACATGAATTTGAAATTTGTGCATGGTGAAGCTACAGCAAAGGAAGAACCTGTGGGTTCAGGGCAGAGCAGCTGTGCTGTGGCATTAATTATGCTTCAGGGTAGCCTTTACCTATGCTTTGATGATGCCACTTCTGACCTTCAAACCTACAATGTCACTTCTCCCTAACCAGAGTCTTACAGCACTGCACGTCTGGAATGAGGAAAGAAAAAGGCAGAAGAAGAAAAGGAAGAAGGGGAAGAGGAAGAGAGAAAGGAAGCAAAAGATCAAAGAGAAAGATAGAAAAAAAGAAGGAAAATATTTTTAAAAATCACCAAAAATAAATAAAGTCACTCCGTTTACAGAAATGTTTACAATGTCAGAAAGTGTTACATTCTTGACTATTCATCCAACTTTGCTTATTTCAAAACACTGCCAACATTAAAAGACATCATTTCATATGATGATTAGAGATAATTTGATAATCTATTCTTACTAATATACGGATGTCCACTGACTGGTGTTCTTCCACATTTTCAAGATCTACTATTTCTCCATTTGTTGTTCTTATTTTTATCTGAAAAAAATCCAAACACATCCTTAAGTTAACTAAAGAGAAAAGTTCACATTTGTTCATTTAAGTCATCACAGAAGATATTTGATTTTTTTTAGTTTCATTAGTGACTAACAAAAGACAACTCTTCACACCTACCTATGGAATTAATTTTCATAAGATATAACTTGATCTGAAAGTCATGTGCACTTTAAATCATTATTTCATTTGTATTTAACATAAGAATTGAATAAAATACATTTTATTTTTTCTTCAAATATTTATCTTCAGCATTTCAGTCCACATGCCAGTTTTTTTGCTGCTTCTTATTTGTAATTTACTGAATATAGCCTTATATAGCATGTATTAGCTTACACTGCCTACCTGGAGCATCACTGGCCACCACAAATATATATCACAGAATAACAGAATATGCTGAGTGGAAAGAACCTACAAGGATCATCGAGTCCAACCTTTAGCTCTGCACAGGACCATCCCCAAGAGTCACACCATGCGCCTGAGAGTATTGTCCAAACGCTTCTTGAACTCTGTCAGGCTTGGTGTTGTGACCACTTCCCTGGGGAGCCTGTTCCAGTACCCAATCTCCTACCTAGGAGTACCAGAAAACACAAAAAGGAAGCTAACAGTTGTAAAATGGTTTTAAAGAAATTAAAATTAAGAAAACTTAAAGATGTGACATGTCCCAGCATACCAAAATGGGATAAGAGTCTATATGAAGAGCATGACAACAAGCAAGATTCTGGGAATGAAGAGGCAAGCCTCAAGAGAAATAAAGGAGAAGGATTATATGGTATAAGTGTCCGCTCCATGCACTATTAGTGTCAAAACAAGCAGTAGAAATTTGTGAGATTTTGCACAAAGGGGAAGAAAGATATCAAACAGAAACAACAGCATATGTTAGGACTGATGTCCTATCATTCTGTCCTAAATTATGAGAGTATATTAAGAACATACAAAACAGGAAAGCAAACAACAAAAGTAAGGATAAACATTAAAAACTATCACTCAGTCAAAATACATTGCAGGAGTCAAAATGAAATAGGGAAAGACTGATGAGTTTCTAAAAACTAACACTGTTCTTATTTTTACCTGTAGTTCTTTTTGGTGTCGTCGATGACCATAAAGATGATCTTCATTTTGCCTAATCTCATTTTCAATGGAATATAAACGTTGCTGAGATGCTGTCAGCTGTGCCCTTTTGCTTTCAATCTCTTTATCCAAGTGACTTTATAAACAAAGTGATATTGAGATATATTACACAGGTATTATTTATGACACACACAGAAAAACACAAAAATTACGCGAATGACAAGACAAAGCGTAAAAATGCACTCTTTTTCAACCAGCCTACATCATTCCTCCATGGCAAAACTAGCAATAGAATTCCTGTCACACTTTGAAAGTGTCCTGGTTGTTGCTATTACTATGCATTTCTTATTCCATTGCTGTTTGTTTTCAGTTAACTGTCATCTCAACTCATAGTCTCTGCCTTTGCCCTCTCTTACTGGAGAGGGGTAAGTGGAAGTGGAGTGGCTTATTTGAGGTTTAATTCCCAGCTGTTTTTTTTAAACCACTACAGAAAGTTAAGATAATCTTTGAGTGAAGTTCATTATATACCAACATGAAGAAAGTATAGTTAACAGACATATTTAAAACTTTTGAGTTCATAGAAATTAATTTTAACATTCAATTCAGTCTATACTATCAGCTATTAATACTAAAATTAAAATATTTACCTAATATGTCTCTAATATAATCTGAGCCTCAAAAGTAATCTGTTGTTGCCAATTTGTTTATTGACAGTTCTTTTGCAATCTCTGAAGTATATTTTGCTTTTTTAACTACCAATAACTAAGCAATGAGAGAGAAAAACCTTAAAAATATAAAAGGTGAGATACCTGCCATGAATGAAGTCAAAAGCCTGAGAAAGCACAGATGCAAAGTTTGAAACCAGTAGTAGCATATGTGCTAACAACTTTGGTTTGGAAAATCAAGCTTCCCTTACAGTAAACTATGACACCACTGTTCAAGTGTTAGATTTTAAAAGAAACAGCTTTGACTCCATACTCATTTTCTCCAACTGTAAACTAAAAAAGAAGGTAGAAAGATTTCCTGGAGTATCCAGCACAACAAATCCTTACTTGCCACAAGCTGAAAGATAACTAGATACAATGCAGCTTTGTACCTATCACAGAAAGGCACTGAAATAAAGAGATTTTCTAGAATTCTCAAGAGGGAAGTGTAAATCTCGGAAAGAAAATGGAGAGATTAGAGAGTAGTGTACATGCAAATAGAGAAATAAGCAATTCCACTACTCATGTCAACAAGTACAGTTTTTACAAACACAACATTACAAGATGCTAACCTTATTTCTGCTTCAACATCTTGACTAAGGTACTTGGGTCTGGAGTAATTGGAAGAGTAATACCGTCTTTCAAAGACGTGATCACCTTCACCAGTGAAAGCTTCTTTACAGTTTGCTGGGGGATGACTGGACTGCATTACCTCACGAGCTCTACGGTTGCTCTGAAAAGCACAATGGCCTTATCATACCAATAGAAAAGCAACAACAATTAAAGATAACAATTTAAAAGTTGTCTAGATGCTCTCATCCAGAAATAATTTCAATTCTTAATGAAATAAGAAATACAGTAATGAAAGAATGTGGAAAAAAATTTATAATGTCAAGAATCTACTTTTCTTAGTTGAACAAGACATTTCTGTTCTCAAGAACCCAGCAAGTCTAGCTACTCATTTATTTTATTCTTTTACAAATTTATCTACATTTTAAATTCTGTGGTCTAATCAATCCCTTGTAATTTGCCATGGGAAAAAAAAACCCCACTAACCAAAAGGTTACTATGCACAGTGTATTTAGTAGTCAGAAGTGGAATAAACATACAGGAAACCATCTTCCAAAGCAAGGTATGAAGTACATCAAACAATATTCAATTAAAGTTTAACATCAGTAACATTACCAAAAAACATGTTCCAAAAAAAAACACTGACAGTGCCAGACTAAGTGGTCACAAGTGCCTTTGTCCAAGGCAATAGTGTTCTCTATTCAGAAGCATCAGTTCTTCCACGCAATACTTCAGATTCAATTGACATAGTTCAGGCAGGGCTCAAAGATGGTAACATTATGAAAATCAGTGATTAGGTAAGGTAGGAGGGGAATAACAAATCTAATATTCCTGCCATGAGAAAAGCCTAGAAAGTTCAGCTGTACATACATTTAGTGACAGCCATGTTTGATAAACAGTCAGCTCTGCGCTCGACAGAGCATGAGCTGCCTGTTTTCCAGTAGGAATGCCAGAGGACAAACTGGGACGAGAGATTCTGGAGGAAAATAAAATCCACAAAAAGTAAGAGTCGTTAGTTCCATCAGGGTCCTCACCTCTCCTCAGGCAGGAAGGGAAACAAAACTTGCTCTACCCTTTTATCCATTACAGACACTACCAATGAAGGTTCCAGATGCTCCACACAGAGAAAACAAGTTTCTTTAAAGACCAACAGGGAGCCTAAAGCCTTACTTTAATCAGCAGGACTTTTTCTATACCCCTCACATCGATCAAACAATTGGCAACCATTACATGATCTATTTCCAATGCTGTCAGTACTGATGGGAATTCTGGATGATAAACAGCTCTGAAGAAAAGAAGAAAAAATATCATTTATAAAACTCACAAGAGATTCTTAAAAAAAAAAAAAATCAAAAATAGTTCTTTTCAACTAATAATTTGAACCATGAAGGTTAAGCAACAAATTTCAAAACATAACTTACCTCGGTCTAACATCATAAATTTTATTCTGGAATTTATTTACAATTATTTGCGGTCTAAATCCATGTGGATAATGTTTTGACATCAGTAACTGTAGAGTTCTTTCATCGCTATGATTATCACAGCAAAATGCATGAACTAGGCCCTTTAAACAGGCTTCGACAGCCAAGGTCAGTTCAGGATCTTTTGGATGAATGAAAGCACCTAAATAAACATAAGAGGCAAGGCTTTAGGAGCTGTGTTCCACGACAAAACATTCAGTAGGATATTTTTACTAATTGTTGTCTTGTGCTGCAGGTTTTTTTTAAGAGTCTAAAATAAATCTTTCTTACAAATAGAAAAAAAAATTAAGAAGTTGACTAAAAGATAAAAAACTCCACAACAGACAAGCAACCCTGAGAACATAAATATATAATTTCTGTTCCTAGAGACACATACACATAGTTGGAGACCTACATTTTCTTTCAATATTTTTGACCGGTGTCTACTAACTTCCATTTAGGGTACCAATTTTATGGCACCTCAGCAGTAGTGTATAAAGGCAAAGATGGCTTATCAACAATTTAATGCTTTAAGGATGAAGGCAGTGGAACAACTATGCTGCAACTTAAACATGAAGATTTCCATTATATCTATCACCTGTCTTCTGTAGTACATGTTCTTACTCTGCAGTAAATGCCACGTACTTTAGTACTTGGCCTTCACATCCAGAATATGCTGAAGTCTTTGCTCCCATTCACAAACTGAAAACAGCAGCCACTGTCAGAGCTGGACAGAAAACAAATAAAGGCCAACTTCCCAAGAAAATCTCAGCTGGGTCTGTCTGAGTTGATCCACCCAAAACATCTCGAGTTTGACAAGCCCACAAGTCAGCCACTGGACACTTTGAACAAAATCTGTCTAAGATCTGAATAGTGCTACCCACCGAGGCACCCAAAGCACAGCAGTCTGATGCTTTGGGGGTGTGGGGGAGTTGGAGGGGTGCACTGAAAGTTTGCTATTTTAGCTACATAAAATACCTCAACTCAAACAGCTGGAAAGTGAGAAAAACCAGAAGATGTCAGCAAGTTCATGACAGGAGCAAAAGATAAACTACCAGGATAAAACTTTTAGTTCTGGAAGTACAGAAGAAAAAGATATATCTGAAACTCCTTAAAGAACAAATAATTTTCCTGAAAGACCACTGTTTTCATTAGCAGCCACACAAGAAGTCCTATGAGAAAACGTGCCTGTTTCAGCAGTTATTCTTACCTATAGGTCCAAGAGGTTTTTTGTTAAAGTGCCCTTGCTTATAGGCTGTTTCAACTGCTTCAACAAATCCTGGTATATGTGGTCCAAATCTTTTCAAAGTATCTGTTTTACTGTCTTTCAGCTCTCTCAGCTGTTTCTGCTTGGCATCCAGTGCTTGTTGCGCATCAGCGTTTTCTCTCCTAAGAGAACAGAATTTTTTTTCAGTAGTTATAGAGCCTTAATTGGACTAAAAAAATTATAAAGCCTTGTCTTTCAATTCCTAATAGCACAGTGTATCAAGATGTCAGTAGTTCAAAGTACATCGAGGTACAGTGAACATGCAACAATATTGTTATAGTTTCAAGAAACATGAGACAAAAAAGCAACAGTACTTTGCAACAGTTTTACAAGGCTTTATTTCTAAAAAATGATAATAAATTTATTTTATTTCTAATGATATGCTTCAATTTCACTGTCTTCTAAAAGACTTTCAACAGAATACAAAGTAAGAATTGGTTATAATAATTGATAAAAGATGTTTAAACTAATACACCAAGTGCAATAAGCAACAATTCTCAAATCCCTCAAGACAATAAATGACATTGTCATAATCCCCTCTGATAATACTGTTCAAGTTCGGGTTTCCAAATCAAAGCCAGAGTGCTTTGGTTTTCCAGCTTGGGTATGGACTAAATTGGTACTTGAAGTACTTGCCTCAAAGCCTCTATGAATGTGCCTTAACTAGAGATGCAATAATTACTCCTAAGTGTATATATTTTCTTATAATGTTTTACATATCTTGTGCCATCCTATCAGGATATACCAGTGTATTAAACTAACAAAAAAAATTTCAATCATAATCTGCCCATAGGATGATAAGAGAGTAAGATACAGATAGTGGAAAGAAGAAAGAAGGATATTAAACTGACAGCATGGATTTATAGCAGGTTTTAAATTACTAAAAACTTTCACTTTTAATGACAAAACAGTTTTCTTAATTTTCCAAAAGTTTTTCAATTAAGTCATGGAAGTGTCAAAGAAAAAGTTTGGCGAGTGCTAAGATAAACAAGGGGATAAAAAGAAAAAGGAACTGGAGCCTAATACTTCAGGGAACGCAAGTACATAACAAGGGATCTCTCTCTATAACTTAAAACAAAGGAAAACAGTTAGATTCAAAAAGCCTAACTTACCTGACCCTGGCATGTTCTTCCCTACACTTATATATAGCCTGCTGAAACTGATCCATCTGCTGAGCAATCAGTATTTCTTCGTCACGGAATGCCTTTAACTGTTCCCTTAAGTGCGCAATTTTCCTTTGTCTTTCCAATTTTTCAGGCTCTGGAACCTGATTAGCACTAGAAAAGAATATACTTCAATATTTTAACACCATACTGATGAATTATAAATGACATGAACGTTATTACTTGTAGCAGACAGAAGATTTATGTATCAGAAATTTATGTCTAACATTCTGTGCATTTACAAAATCTACAAAGCATAAATCCCAGTTTTTATTTATTTTTTTTTTAATTTGTAATCACATGTAACTCTCTCCAGTTACATTCCTATTGCATTTAGTTTAAGGCATATTTGTTTTGTAACATCACAGAAGCTAGAAAATGTCTATTATCATTACAAAAAAATAAAAAGCCTTTTAGCTACCCAGTTACCTCATCACATCCTAGTCAAAGTCTTGGCATGTAAAGAAACAGGATCAGAAATATTCAAATATTTAACTGGACCCTGTAAGGTTTAAGTAAGTATTTCATATTACTGCAGGTTTTCTCATTAATCAGAAGAGCTCGCTGCTTTCACACCTGTATAATAAACATACATCATCATCATCACTGTATCTGTATTTACCTGCTTTTCAGTTCTTCGATTCGTTTACACAGCTGTTCGTCGTCTTTTCCCAGACGTTTTAACTCCGTTTTGAAACGATTATAAACCACCTATGAAGGAAATAGGATACAGTAATTTAAGAAATAGAAGAAATCACTTCAAAAAGAACTACACTTTTGAGTAAATAAATACCGAACGGCACCAAACCAGACAAACATAACTTGATTTTCAAGAATTAAATTTATTTATTTATTTTGACCGAAGTTTAACACTGATTAACACCTATATAAAGATATAAGCCCCAGGGCCCCTGACCAGAAACTACTTGCCAGTTAGGCAGGAAATTCCACCTCTTTTGAACTGCACTATGGATTTAGGAAGCCAAGACAAAGATGCAGGAGTACAGAAGGGTAGAACATGGACAAGATTAAAGCTTTAAACTGGTACAAACTTTTCGCCTACCTCGATTTCATTGACTGCTTTTCTTTTTGCTTGCACTTCAGCCTTCAAAGAAATACACTGAGGATGAAGGGCTTGTGCTTCTTCACTTACTGTTTCTAATCTGTCTAGTATTGCTTTGTACTTTTTTTCTGCTTCATTCACTTTTACCTTTGGTGAAAAAAGAGAATGATATACAAGTAGTGATGGAGCAAAATTTTTCATTGCCACTACAGACATGCAAAGATGAAAATTAATAAATGGACATTCTCAGGAAACCTACAGACTACCAAATCTGTGAAGTAAACAGTAACCTTTTTTTCTGTCTCATGGTTTACTCAAACACAGGACTCTTGATACAATAAGGCCAAGTAACATGACATCAAAAGAAGTTAAGCCAGTGTCTGGACAATGTTCCTTCAGTACTACACAGACATGTTCATCCCAATGCAAAAATGCCTCAATTGTAAAACAAATACTTAAAAACAAACAAACCAATCCACAATTTTTTTTTTTTTAAAAAGGAAAATGCTAATAAAGAAAACTTGGAGAAGAAGTTTTAATAGACTGAAAAGTTTTGGGGCTGTTCAGCCCAAAGAACAGAAGAAAAAGTTTTGTGGAGACCTCATATCAGTCTTTCAGCATCTGAAGGGGACTTACAAGGAAGCCTGAGAGGAACTCTTCATCCTTTGTAGTGACAGGATAGGAAGTAATGGGTTCAAACTGAAAGAGGGGAAATTTAGATATACGGAATGAATTCTTTCCCATGAGGGTGGTGAGGCACTGGCACAGGTTGCCCAGAGAAGCTGTGGCTGCCCCATTCCTGGCAGTGTTCAACATCAGGCTGATTGGGGCATTGAGGAACCTGATCTAGTGGAAGGTGTCCCTGCCCACGGCATGGGGATTGGAACTAGATGATCCAAACCATTCTATGATTCTAAATTCACAATAATGATGCCTAGCATTTCTCTGTAAAAATATATATTTCATAGGTGAATATGAATATTTGACAAAATTACTCTTTCTACCTACAGAAGTCTTAAGAAGTCAAAGACTTACAAAGGTCTCCTGAAATCACTGATCTTTTCTGTAGGCAATGATACCCAAGAAAACCTACATGACAGATCTCTGAGGCAGGGACTAAAACTAGAGTGATTTAAACTGTATATGTACCTGCCATTCTTCTACCTTCTGAATAAACTCTGTATTTGCTTCTTCAGCCTTGATGCCTTCTTTGATTGGCTCTATTTCTTTTTCCATCTCACTCACCTAAAAAGAAACCTATATTAGCATGTATCAGAACATCAGCAACAGACTGAGAAAGAAGTATATTTCATACAAATAAACATATTTTAGCAAGACACTTACCACTGCCCATGCCATATTATGTTTCAACTCTTCAAGACGTCTTCGCATGTCATTCACAAATGCAATGCTTTTGTAGAGTTCCTTTTTTTCTAAATAAATCTGCCTAAGTTCTTCAAGACGCTTAAAAAAGAAAAGGAGAGGTTCATCACGAGTGCAAAAAGTTGTGATGTAGTGCGAAATCTTGCAAAGATTTGTTTTTTGTAAAATTTAATGTCACTAAGACCTAATCAAATCAAAACCATGCAGTTTAAGTCCTATAGTTCTTACAGTGCACAGATCAGTGCTAATAATTACTTTAACTTTTACATACCTCTCTTCCTTGTTCTATCTGAATACGTGTATTCTGTTGAGTTTTCTCAACACATGAATAGTCTTCTTTCATTTGTTCCAGCTGAGTTGCCTTCATAAAAAACTAAAAAGGAATAAAAATTTGCAGATGTCAGATTCAGCACCTTATCTAAGTGAACTTTAATTGCCACAGAAAGACCATTCATTCCAACCTCTCTGCATGCTGAATGACACCCAAAGTAAAATAAATGGTGGGGTTCTGGTGGTACAACTTCCATCCCCTTCTCGGCCTGCACTGTGATATCAGAAATGCTCATTAGGCCTTGGCCTTGATGAACAGCACCTGGGCTCAGCTCCTTGTGAGCATATTGGAAACACTCTCTGCTCCCAGGAACTTATGCTGTCTGATGAGCTCCTGTTTTTAACAAAACTGCCTTGGAAACTTACTTTTCTTGCCTGAATAACAACCCATGTGGAACAACATTTTTGTTACTGAACTTTCAAAGTAAGTTACAAACCCAAATTTTGGCGAGGATGGAACACTACTATGACTAAAGGCCACTCTTTTGCAGCTCTATAAACAGCAGTCCTACGTGAGACCCTTTGAGCTCTCTTGGACCTTAGTGGGCAGTGACCAGCATCTCCCTGAGTGGGACACCTCTTGCGCCACTGAGCTCTCAAATTTACTTGGAAGTTCACAACAGAGCCTGAGCTGATACCCCCACTCCTCAAAGATCAACCTGTTGAGACGATACAAAGGCATCCAATGTGAGTACTTCCCTGAATTCGATGGGAATTTTTTAGAGATACACCTTGTACGTACTGTTAAGGCCTGTGGGCGTGTGAATATGCTCTAGCAAATGTATTATGAATGTCACCTATGTATTATGAATGTCACCTTCTTAGATTCTTAAGTAAATTAGGCCTATAAGTGAGTTACCATTGTGCTATAGTAAATTCTATAAGAATCTTTTGTTAAATTGTTTAAATTAGGCTATCAATTAAGTGCTGTTAAGTCTAAGTGCTGTCAAGCTTAAGTGCTGCCAAAACCTTTAAGCCTAAAACATTGGTCAAGTCTGGGGCTGAGTATGGCAAGTCACTCTGAACCCTGTGACTTAATGGGCAGGTCTCCCTTACTCCTTTTTAGCCTTACCCTTTTCCCATCACCAGCCTCTACGTAGATCATTTTAGGTTGATTTTAGTTTTAGCTTGATAGATTACAGGTTTGAGTATGATTTTCCTCTGTGTGCTTTAACCACCCAGGTAAGCAGAAGAGTGAACCTCGTCAACAAACTTTGTCCTGCTTTCATTTTAATATTAAACCTGCTCTTTTGCTGCTCCCTGTGCTGGTGGTTCTTTGAGCAATCTAAAACACTCATTTGCAACTCTGGTATTTCTGAATAATGAACTAACTCAGCAGTGTCCTAACATTTAATTTTATCAATCTCTTTAGAAAAAATAAACTTAAAAAAAATTGTTTGTGCAAGTGGATGACTGCTACAATCAGACAGAGTACTGGCTCTGGCCAGGATGAAGTTAAGTGTCTTCATAGCAACTTTTATGGTGCTGTATTTTAGATGTGTGATCAAAACAATACTGACAACACCCTAACATTTTAGCTGTTACACCAAGGCCTCCCGTTTCTCACTGCCCTCCCAGTGAGTACATTAGTGGGCTGTGCAAGAAGTTGGGAAGGGATACAACCAGGCAGTTGATCCCAGATATGCCACCCCATGAAACTTCATTGTCGTGGTTTAGCCCCTGCCAGCAACTCAGCCCCCCATAGCCACTCACTCACTTCCCCTTGGTGTGATGGGGGAGAGAACTGGAAAAGTAAAAGCGAGAAAACTCATAGGTTGAGATAAAAATAATTTAATAAAGGAAAAGCTACACATACACAAGCAAAGGGAAACAAGGAATTCATTCATCACTTCCCATGGGCAGGCAGGTGTTCAGGCATCCCCAGGAAAGCAGGGCTCCATCATGTGATTTGGGAAGACAAATCCATCACTCTGTCTTCTAATTCCTTCTTCTTCCCTCAGCTCTATATGCTGAGCACGATGCCGCATGGTCTGGGATATCCCTTGGGTTAGTTGGGATCAGCTGTTCCAGCTGTATACCCTCCCAACTCCTTGTGCACCCCCATCCTCCTTGCTAGTGAGGTGGGGTGAGAAGCCGAAAAAGCCTTGACTGTGTTCAGTAAGCACTGCTCAGCATTTACAAAAACAGCAGTAACAAAAACATCTCCATGTTATCAACACTGTTTTCAGCACAAATCCACAAGGTAGCCCTTTCTTATCTGCCATGAAGAAAATTAACTCTATCTCAGCCCAAACCAGCGCAGCCATGCTCAGCAAAAAATGGAATAAGAGAGGGTTTAGGGGGATTAGCCATCTTTTGCTTGGGAACTAGTTTGGCATTCGTCTACCAACTGGAGGTGGTGAGCAATTGCTTTTGCGTCTCTTGTTTTCTTTCACTTTCTTTCTCTCTCCTTCCAGCTTTCTCTGCATTTTTTTAAAATAATTTTTATCTCATCCTTTTAAGTTCTTTTATTGTACTCTTCTGTTCCTCTTACCCCATCCCAAGCTGGAGGGAAGCACAAAAGGGAAGTGAGTGGTTGTGTGGTATTGAGCTGCTTACCTGAGTTAAACCACAACAGGTTATTAAAATCAAGGAATCTGATATTTTTTTCCATCCAAATGCCGCTTCTAAAAATTTGAAATCAGTATTCGAATGTTTAGTCAAAATGCTCAATTATTTTTCTTACCTTATACTTGTCACTTTCACTTTTAGTCTGTAAAAACTGCTTACTCATCTCTTGGGTTAAAATAGTCACAGGATTATCTACCTGCAAAAAATAATCGCTTTCGTTTTATTTTGAATAGAACAGTTATCATGTGACTGCAAATCCATGAAAGTGAGCAAACCTTCGCCTTGTTCCATGTACTGCAATTCAATACTAAGATTCAGAAATTAAGATTTCTAATCCTATCATCTCTTTAAAAAAATACAAAACCTAACACACAAAACCAATAACAAACAGAAACTTTAGAAATCCAACTCCATCAAATACAAAATCAAACCACAGCAAGATCAATTAAGGAGTTGCTTCCAGGAGGATGACTTCTATAAAGACAGTGTCTGTAAGTTCCATTTATTTAACAAGATCAGCATTAGAAATTTTGTCCAATGTTTAATTCTCATTATTTAATTGATCAAAGTGTTGCACTTAATGCAATGAATTGACCCATATATTCTTACAGAAGTTTACACAAAAAAAAAATCAATACATATTAACTGAAGTCTGTGTTACTTGAAATTCTAAGTAATAATGGCCAGTCTTCGCGAGCGAAGATTTGGGAAAGGTCATTAACCCTTCGAGCCTGCGCAGTGGATTTTTTAGGTGAGACACAGCGTGCGCTGAACTGAGCCCACCCTTTAATCCTGAGGTTCATCTGCCGGGGCCGAGCAAGCTTGGACAGTGGCAGTGAGGGTCTCAGGACGTAGGTTTGTTTAGAGTGACCTTCTCTTAGATGGATTGCCTTACAAGGCTGACGAGCTCCATCTGCCCGGGGGGCTGGGAATCGAACCTGGGTCGCAGTGGTGAGAGTCCTGCACCCTAACCACTAGACCACCAGGGGCCCCCTGAAATTCTAAGTATGTTGAATATTTTAATGAAAGATCAGGTAATGCACACGAAGTTTAAAATATGAAATTCTAAGTATGTTGAATATTTTAAACTTCGTGTGCATTACCTGATCTTTCATTAACCACTTAAGCAGCAAAAACACACTCAAATTTCTTCCACAGAAAACACTGAAATAATCAGCATAAAAACTCCCTCCAGATACAAAAGAAACCTATGCAAGGACTTTCATCAACAAGCTACATGACTCTTGGCTCACAGATGATAGCAAATACGTATCTGCCTGGGACAGAATTTTATTCTAAACTGTATGAGATATAAATTTCAATTTTTCTTTTGCTGATGCATTTGATTTTGAAATAACATGGAAGGAATAAACCTCTCTCATTTAAGGAAATGAGAAAACAGTGCTTTTTAATGAGAGAATTATAATATCGCATGCTGATGTCTGAAATTGCAAAAAATTTAAACACAGCAACTACCTGTATATTAAAATGATCCAGTATTTTTACGAGTTCTTCTTTCTTTGAAGAAATTAAGGTTCCTAATGGAAAAAAGCAGAGGAAAAATACCAATGGGTCCAAAGTAAAGAGACGTACAATGCCCCAGTCTTTTGTTCAATGTAGCAATGTAAAAAATTAGACTAATTTTTTGTAACATGGATGTAGTCCTAAATGAGAAACACTGGTTGTTTGGGTTTTTTTTCTAATATATTTGCATTTGCACAGAAGGACTTCTAATTCAAGTCCCTCGTTGCCTCACAAACCATCTGTGACAGAATATAGGTAAATCAGAAAACTCAACAGAACCTCAAAAAGATTAAAAGAACTATGTTCACCCTCATCATACAATGAGATTTTTGTAAAAAAAATACATAATGCAGAACCTGAAATATGATATAATATATATCAATAAATACATAATGCTTTTGACATATTAAAATATTCTTAGTCTGAGGTAAACACACAAGAAATGGACAGTGTCATCATCCTTGAATGATTTTATGAAATAACATCATCCTTTACTAACATCATTTAAAGCAATGAAAACATTTAAAGAACTTTTAAGACTGAGAACAAAGCAAACTACCACCAACCAGATTTGCTTTTCAGTTTGTAACTTCTGCTTCCTTCCTGATTAATGCGCTGATTCACAATAATAGAGTTACCATACACTTCTGGTTTAAATGCATCTCTGCCCTGGTTTCGCAAAGTTATGGAAATATCTGCAGAACTAAAAAAACCATGAAAATAATAAAAAAGACAACTGAAATTAATTTCAAATCTAACAAAAAAAATCAGAACATTCTAATTTTACATACAAATTGTCAGGTTTACTACAGGTCAAAACTGCAAGTCAGTCATAGTACCAATCAGAACAACATATATCAGATACACATCCAGAAAGGGTGCCATACACTATCTGTTTGCACCTTCTTCATGCAACACCCAAAAGTAAATAGTTGGAAGAGCAGATTTACCCCACCTTCCCTTCCCATCTGAGTGCACCCATTTTTAGGCTGCAGATTCAAGTTGCTTTTTTGTTGTTCTCCTGTTTTCAAACTGGCTTCTGTAGAAAACAGTTGCTTGGCTTCTACAGCCTAACCAAAGTAATCTATACCAGAATGCTTAAGGCATTCTTAGAGAAAAGATGAGATATGCTTTCACTTCTGAATTCCTATTTTCTGTTTCTTGAGTGAATGCTGAAACATTAAGTTAATACACATAAGGAAGGTACTGCGAAAAATTTACTCGAAGCACCTCTGAAAGGAAAAGTCTGGAACTCCGAGTTACAGCTTTATGTAAATGTAAACTCCTAAACCTATTTTGTTATCGATTCCCCTGAACATGTTATTCCCGCTCTTACAGCAGACATGAATCCACTTCCTGCATGTTTAAATATCCATCTGTAACTCAAGGTCTTTATATTGCATATTCATTCACGTCCCCAGAAAGATTGAAAAGTAATTAATCTCGCTGCTTGCATAACAGTAACTAGTTACCTAGGATTTTTCTGTAATGAACTCGATTATTCGGTAGGAATTACATAGCGGAAGTAACACATGAGAACAGGGCAATACAGAGGACATACTGCCATGTTAGCTAGTTCAGTGTCCTAGTTTCAGCCAGGCCAGAGCTAATTTTCTCACAGCTGCTGTGAGGGGACGGAGTTGTTATTCTATGCCACCCACGTCATCACTGGAGGACGTGGCTGCGGTTGAAAGAAAAGGGGAACACGATGTGGAACTGCTGCCATTTTATTCCTTTCCTCCAGGGAAAGCAGGCAGCATGTGGAGCAGTGGGGTGGCTCCAGTCCTCTTGGGGGGTTTGTCCATCACTGCTTTTCGTTGTCTCGAGCCTGGGCAGGGAGAGAGGGTGTGGACAATTTGTCTATCATTGGTTTTTTTCTTCACTGGCCCAGGCTTGGGGAAGGGGGGGGATACAGACACTTTCATCCAACATTTTCTTCTTTGTCTGGGGAGCTGTGAGGCTTGGGCTGTGGTGCAGTCACGTTGAGTCGGACTCAGTGAGCACTTTTGCATGTAATCACCTTCTTTTATACACTGTTGTTATTAGTATTGTTGCTGTTACTGTTTGTTTTCCTTATCTCATTGCTGTTTTTTTTCAGTAAATTGTTATCTCAACCCATAATCTCTGTTTTTGTCCCTCTCTCACAGTAGCAGATGGAGAGGAAGAGGAACAGCTGTTTGCAGTGTCATTTCCAGCTGGTTTTAAAAACACAACATTCAGAAATAGCAGTATACTACTTGTAAAATTTCTAATTTTTTTTGTTTGTAGTTTTTTTTTGGGGGGTTGTTTAAATAAGGTCTCTATTGTTTTGTTTTTTATTGAAGCCTGGTGGATCCAATAAGAAGATGCAGAAAATGACGGTGAACAGAAAACTCATCAGCTAACCTGAATGACTAAACAGCATACGCAACTTTAAAACTAAAGAAGCTTTACTTACGTCTCTCCATCTCGAATAAACATTTTTAATGAGGAACCTCTATTAGTTGCAGTAGCTTTTCCACCAAGTCCAACAATAAGAGCAGTTAAAACAGAACTTTTTCCACCTGTAATAGAAGCATTGAACTTGTTTTAAAGGGAAGTTCTTGTAACTTCTCTAGTGCACCCATATTACAGATTTTTGTTTGACTGGTTATATATTCATGCAACAGAAGTCCAAATTCTGTCCTTATTGAAAAATCATTTAAAATAACAATAACACTAGGAAAGTATCTGCCATTTCTACAGTTCTCCCTAAAATAACCCAACATGCTGAGCCAAACTTGTTACTTCTATCTAGCAATTTGCATTCAATATGTCCTAGGTCAGGAGGAAGGAATGTCTCCTTCCTTAAAAACATACTAAAAACATGTATACAACAAAAGAAATCAAACATGTATTACCATTTACCTAATATCTGAAAGGTTTTGAGGTCTCTTTCAAAATTTATGTTTTAAATTTTTACTTCTCTCTTCACAAGAAGTTAGTTTGTATAAACATCACTTCCTTTTCCTATAATAGTTTCTACATGACCTACTGTCCTGATTTTTCTTCCTAGTAGCTGGTTCAGTGCTGTGTTTTGGGTTCAGTATGAGAACAGTGCTGGTAACACACTGACATTTTGGTTGTTGCTAAGTAGTGTTTACCCAAATCAAGGACTTTTCAGGGTCTCATGCTCTGTCAGGAGGAGCACAAGAAGACAGGAGGGAGAATGGCCAGGAGAGCTGACCCAAACTGGCCAAGAGGATATTCCATACAATAGAATGCCATGCCCAGTGCATGAACTGGGGGAGTTGGCCAGGAGGTGCTGATTGCTGCTCAGGATGGGATGGTTGTGAGCAACTGTATTGTGCATCACTTGTTTATCTTGGGTTTTATTCCTCTCTTTCTGGTTTTTATTATAATTATTATTATAATTTATTTTATTTCAGTCATTAAACGGTTCTCTCAAACCACAGGTTTTACCTTTTTCAGATTCTCCTCCCCATTCCACTGGGGGATGCAGGGGAGTGAGCAAGCAGTGGCATGGTGTTTAGTTCCCAGATGGGATTAAACAACAACGGTCATTTTTGGTGCCCATCACAGGGCTCGAAGGGTTGACATAATGACAGATATGACCAGAGTGTGTTAAAATGAATTTTTTGTAAGCTTTCATTATAATTCAGTTTGATAGTTGCTGGTCACAATGTCGATTCATTTGCTCTCAGACTCATTGCACTAGTTCTCAGAGTTGCATTATGCAACACCTTCCTCGCAGGATGTGTTCCCCATTTTGGTGTTCATCACCTCTGGGGCTTGGGCTAAGGTTATCATTTTGCAGTACTTTGTAATACTGGCTCATATGATGTGACAGAACTGGTTGTGAGTCTGGCCTGGTTCGTGCGCTCAGCATCTCCGTCACGCCTGGGCCTCGGGGGCCACCTAGTGGCAACTATTGACCATTACACCTCCTACCTTCCCTCTCCGAGAGCCAGCCTACGCGGGAGGAATCTTCCCCTTCTTCTCCAGGCTAATTAGAACAGCATTTGAGAATTCTGAAAATTTTGAATACCCTTGGAAAGTTGAAACCATCAGGAAGTAGGATGTTGCTGAATGTGGCTCAGATCTTGTTTAGCATTTAGAAACTAATAGCCAGTACTCCAACCCCCCAGTACAACCACTGAGGCTCCTCCAACTTCAGCAATGGGCACTGCAGGCACTTGGATAATTACTGTGTATTTAATAATAAACATACAAGTACATTTAGTTCAAATATAAATTTATTTTGCTAAGAAAATATTTATATTTACATTATATTTTGCAAAAATCTCCACATTTAAGACCTAACTCTTTCATCAGCCTTGCCCTAGTGGGATAGACCTGTGTGGCTCCCAAGTCCGTGCCTAAAAGATGGCAAAGAATTCTTTTTCAAATAAACATTACATCTTCTAAATTATTGACAAAGGTGTTCTTTGACAAAGAAATTATGCAATTAATACTTACTTCCATTGCTTCCAACAACAAAATTGATATTTGATCCAAACTGAAAAGGCCCCAGATTTGAGTGGCACATGAAGTTCTTCAGCTGGATACTTTCAATTATCCCAACTTCACCGGCAGTCTAAAGAATGAACAGTGAAAACTAGAGTTACGTATGCATTTTAATGAGATGCAGTTTATATATTTTAATAATAATGAGCATTAAAATGACAGAATAATATAAAGCATCAACGGTTACAAGCTACAAGGAAACAGAAGGGTTTCATGACACTATGTAATTGCTTGCTACAGAGCAGTTATGTAATAAAACAGAAAGAAAAGAGTTACCAAAGCTGACTGCTCACTCATAGTAACTTTAAGTTCTCCCCATTACTAACTTATAATTAATACAACAAAAAATATTAAGACAATAGATTCTACACAGTTGGCTGACCATATTAACGTATGTTATTAAGGGCATTGGCAAATACCTCTTAAATCCTGGCAGGCTTGGGGCACTCACCACCCCTCCAGGAATCTGTACTGGGTTTGAGTGGCAAGATTTTGGTAGTGGGAGGGGCAGGAGGCTACACAGGTGGCTCCTGGGAGAACGTACCACAAGATTCCTGATGTCCAACAGAGCCAATGCCAGCCAGCTCTAAGACAGACCCATTGCTGGCCAAGGCCAAGCCCATCAGCAATGGTGGTAGCACTTCTGGGATAAGAATTAAGAAGGGCAAACTGCATTTGCAGCAATTGCAGCCAGAGAAGAGAGGAGTAAGAATATGTGAGACAAACAGCCCTGCAGACCCCAAGGTCAGTGCAGAAGGAGGGGCAGGAGGTGCTCCAGGCATCAGAGCTGAGATTTCCCTGCAGCTGTGTCCCTGCAGCCCATGGAGGCCCATAGGGGAGCAGAGATCCCCCTGCAGCCCATGATGGAGCAGGTGGATTCACAAAGGAGGCTGCGACTCCTTGGGAAGCCCATGCTGGAGCAGGTTTGCTAGCAGGGCTTGTCACTCAGCAGGGGACCCACACTGGATCAGTCTGTTCCTGAAAGACTGCATCCAATGGAAGGGATCCACACTCAAGCAGGGGAAATGTGAGGAGTCCTCCCCTGGGGAGGAAGGAGCGCCTGAGACCATGTGTGACAAACTGACCACAGGTCCTGCTCCCCTATCCCCTGTGCTGCTGGGGGGGAGGACAGAGAGAAAATCAGGAGTGAAGCTGAACCCAGGAAAAAGGGAGGGGTGAAGGGAAGGTGTTTTAAGATTTCGGTTTATTTCTCATTATCTCTCAAATCCTGATTTGTTAATGAATTCAGTTAATTTTCCCAAGTGGAATCTCTTTTGCCTGTGACAGTAACTGGTGAGTGATCTCTCCCTGCCCTTATCTCAACCATGAGCCTTTCGTTATATTTTCTCTCCCCTGCCCATGTGAGGAGGGCAGTGACAGAGCAGCTTTGGTGCACACTTGGTGTCTCCAGGGTCAACCCATCACAGAAGCCTGGTCTGGTGTCTGAAATGTTTCCTAATGTCCAGTGTAAACGCACAGAACAGGATAATACACAAGACAGTATTTTCAATTTCAGAAATTATTTTTTAAAATTCCTCCATGTCCTAGTTAGAACAGCTGGGACCAATTCATCACTGGATGGGTGTAACCCAAAACTGTGTATTCTAGAGCCCTCCATGCCATTTCCCAGAAACTGTTATCAATAGACTATTTACACTCTCTGCCCAGAGCAGCCTGACTCCTCAGGCTATAAACTGGGTGTTAAGAAGCCTGCGAGATAGGAAGATGTTCCTGTCCTCACACCCTTTTATGGAATTCCCCGCTCTGAGGGAAGGACTGAGCATTCCTGCCTGAACTGGAGAATATATAATCTTGGAGTTTTGGAACCTTTTTACCACTGATGGGATCCAGAGGAAGACTGCAGACCACTGCTCTCAACCAGACTGCAGACCACCACTCTCGACTGGACTGCAACCACCACTTTTTTCAACCAGACTGCAATCACCACTCTTGATCAGACAGCAACAGCACTCTCACCAACAGGTTTTCCCCTCTCCTTTTCCTTTGAACTTAGGGGGCCCAAAGAACACCACTCTGTTCATGCCCCAGGGTGCTGGGTTATATATTTGGGTTTTGTGGGTTAAAACCAATTGTTTGTCTGTATAATCGTACTTATTGTATTATTTTATTAAATTGTTATTCTGACTTATAATCTCTCTTTTGAGTTGAGTTCATTTCCCCTGCTGGTTTACCTTTAAACCAGCACACTCCATCAAATTTTAATTCGACCACTAACAGAAAAGCAGAAAAAATAATATTCCTGTTTTCAAGTTTCATTTCCATCAAAATTCTCATTTCAAACACTAGATTTTTTTTAGACATTTGAAAGTGTCAGCTATCCAAAACAAACAAGTATTTGGTGCTTCTTTTAGTAAATAATTAGTTTTAAATATTTTCTATGCTGTTACTACAAACATAAACAAAATATATCATGGTTCTACCAAAATCCATTTGCTTTATTTGATTACTTGACAACTTCAGTAGTATTCATTCTGTAAAACCAGAATATTGTTATTTTATGATCAACTGTTATAACTAGATGACCTAAAAGAAATAAGGTAAGAATGAACATCACAGACGGTACCTCTAGTTTCTTTTATATTTGTTCTACTGAAGCCTACATCCAAGATATTTATTTAAACAAGCACAACTTTTTCTTCTACCTTCCCCTCTATGACCTTTTAAACAACTTACCAACTGTGAGGAGGCATTACCATCAGCGGATGACTCTAAATTTTCTTCTTCATTAGACTCATCACTATGTTCATCTATGTATTCTTGTCTCCGCCTTTTCTGGGATCCAGGCTTTGAAATACTTTCCTGCTTTCTCTTACCCATGAGTGCTGAAAAATGAAAGTAATGAAATATTGTAGGTTTCAGTCTTCTAGATGAAAACATACCCACAGGTGATAGCACAGACATACCAAATTATTTAATTTGATAAAAGAAATATTAAGATCATAACAAACATTGCACATATACTTTTTCAGAACTGAAATATTGGTAATTTAAGCCTAAGTGTACTATGAAAGAGTTGCATGAGAACAAAAAAAACACAGCTTCATAATTCTAATCAAGCTGAATTTGTTGATTAACAGTAAAATCAACCTTAACTCTGTTTTCCTTGGTACATTAGTCTTTGGAATATTTGCTAGAATTGTTTTTGGTTAGCAATGGAGTTGAGGATCAGGTGGTAAAAAGAAACTAACATAGTGTGATCAGCAGCATCAATGCAGATATGATTAAAGCAAGCTGCACAGCTAAAAATAAAATGTATTAATTATTTGTGGTTGACAAAAGCCTAGAAAATTTATATGCGGAACACACAGGAGCAGAATAAAGGAAAAGTCAGACTCATAACATTGTTCCTGTGCTGTTTCTTACATGCAAGGCAGTGTAGTGTGATCACAGTAAACAGAATGCTGTTATTCTCCTAATGAAGGATAATAGTTCTCTCTCTATAGAGAACATATGCATATATTTCCTCTAAAAAAATCAGTAAATAACACACAGACTTCCAGCACTAATAGGACTGGTCTGAAATTAATTTTGCAAAAGTAACAAGCTTTACTAAAGTCATATAAAACTAAAAAAGGCATTAGGATTAATCAAAATTTCACATTCTTTGTAACTTTAAGCTTACGGCACTGTTTTTATTCCCCTAAAAGTACATATCACATTTTTCATGTAGAGTCCTGGAGTCCCAAAGGCCTATACCAATGGAAGTTGACATACTTGCCCAAAGTAGAAGCAAGGTCCTGCTTACACAAAGGCAATGCATGGTCTTTTTACTTGTTAGTAGTTTAGTCAGCTACTGCTCATCATCCAAAACAGGCTAAAATTCAAATAATTTGCATAGTTTTCCAACATCAAAACTTTTCTGAAATGGAGTTATGCCCTCCTACTCAACTCTGTACTAAAATTTTGTCTAGAGCTCCCTTCTAAGAAAGATAGCAACTAAACTTAATGCACATCACCAGTCTGAGCAAAATTCAGAGGCATTAAATGTAATTAACATTCACTGTCGTGGGTTTCTGTGGCTGGGGTTTTTTTGGTAGCTGGCGGGGGGGGCTACATGGGGTGATTTCTGTTAGAAGCTGCTAGAAGTTTCCCCCCCTCCATGGAGCCAATGAAAGCTGGCTACAGGAGGGACTTCCTGCTGTTGGCCAAGGGAGAGCCAATTGTTGCGCCTCTGTGACAACTTATTTAAGGACAAAAGTTTGTTGCGCAGAAGAAATTGGAGCCAGGGGGGTTGCTGATGGAAGCCCCTGGGCCCGGGCCCTGGGGCCCCAGCTCGGGGCAGGAACGGCACTGGAGTTGAGCCGGCCTGGGCCGGGGCAGTGGCCACAGCCTGAGCCACATGGCACCTGGCCCACGGCAGGCACAGCGACAGAGCCGAGCAGGGCCGGGCCAGCCCCACTGGCAGGCACTGCCCCCACTCCCATCCTGGCCGAGCCAGGACAGGCTGGGACGGCTCCGCCGTGTTGCAGCTGAGCCCATGCGGGAACAAGTAGATGCATGAAGGAGGACTGTTACCCTCGTGGGAGGCCCAGGATGGAGCGGTGTCCCTCGGAAAATCTGTGGCCTGTGGAGAGAGGAGCCCGCACCGGAGCAGGTTATTCCCGGGTAGGACTCAACTCATGGCTCTGTGGGGGACCCACATGGGTGCAACTCATCTGTTAAATACTGCATCCTATGAAAAAACATCGGGGTGCAGAGACCCCCTGTGCCCCATGGAGGAAGCTTTGGGACAGCAGATATCTGCTTTGGGACAGCAGATATGGAAGACCTGTGGCCTAGGAGGGGTGGACCCATGTTGGAGAGGTCCATCGAGGACTGCTTCCCGTGGGAGGGACCCCACAGAACAGGGGAAGGACTCAGAGCTTTGGCCCCTCTGTAGCCCATGGTGAAGACCATGGTGAAGGAGGCAGTCCCCTTGCAGTCCATGGAAGAGTGACCCACAGGACAGCAGACTTGGAAGACCTGTTGCCCTATGGGAGGAGGGAGAACATGGAAGGAAGGAGGGGTGGTTGGAAAGTGTGTTTAAGACTGTTTTATTTCTCACTCTTTAGCTCTTATCCTGTTAGTAATAAATTTTAGTACCATCCTCATGTTGAGTTTTGTTTTGCCTGTGTGACTCCTCCCAGCTCTTAGTGACTTTAGTGGGTGCCTAGAATATGGCCAGGGTCAACCTACGACTTATAGAAAGATCACTGTGGCCTAAGAGTAGGCTGCTTATTAATAAAAATTAAAAAAAAATATTTTTTTTAAAAAATTGACTGGGGTGCATGAAAGAATGACCAGCATTAGAGACATTGCATGCCATGTCATGGTTTGAGACCAAATTGACTGTGTGGAGACTAAACACACTGACGTCTTAGAGGCCAGAACACTCCTAGTCATGGATACATGTGATGATAACAAGAGAGCGCTTCCTTGTCCCACAGGACAGATGAGGTGATCCAGGAGAGAAGACATACAGTTAGGAACTGTATAACAGTTCCTAACATGATCTCCTGCCTCCTGGAGGGAGATGATATGGTCTGTGAGAAAGCAGGATGGATCAGCACAGTGGGTCCAGCTGTGCCATGCACAGCCTTGGTATCCCATGAGGTCCCCTTGTTAAAGCCCTGAGGCCCTCCCAGAGTTTCTCAGTAGGTCTTGCTCTACATTCTCTCTTTAAATGTTTTAAGATTAGTAACCTGGAGAATCTACAGAGAAATTAGTGAAATGAAGACTGTTGAATTACAACTTTAGTCATAAGAACTAGTGCTGCAACAGAGAGGTGTAAGATCCCAAGGCTCATCCTATGAGTTCATTGAATGGGTTTTACTTTAAAAATATATAAGGCTCCAAAAATCTGCTCGCTGGACTTATTAAAAGGGCCTTCAGTTCTTTTAATACCTCAAGAACGAGCACACAGGAGAAGACACTGCACACATTTCTCAGGAGGTCAAATAACAAACTTTTACTGGCAAACTTTAGAAAATAAGGGAACTTGGTAAAGGTTTAAAGGGCAATATTGAACCAAAATAAAGCATTCCACAAAGCATGCTAAGTCAACTTAGCACATGCTAACACACATAACTTAGCAAAATCCAACACATCCAGCTTTAAGTTACCCAAATATCAAGGAGATTAGGAGAAGAAACAAAGAAAGAGAGAGAAGAAGAGAAAATTACTGCTACCACCCCAGATGCAGCATAGATCTAGCTACCAGGAACCCAGGAGATGGCAGGGCTGTGACCACACGAGGGCCACACGGTGTTGATTTTATCTGCTTTGACCCCTTGTGGCCACACCCTCCAGGCAGGACTTCTGGCCCACTGGCCACTCTGGGGCTCCGGGGTGGGGTGTGGGCAGTGCTCCCGGTGTCCAGTGACAGACAGCTGCTCTGGAGCTGCCCAAGGAGGCTCCAAGGGGCTGGAGTATGGAACAAGGCACTATTCCACCTTCGTGAAATTTGACCTGTCTCTCCCCATACACACACACTTGAGTTCATCCAAGCCAATAATTAATATAATAATCCAGTGTCTCATAAGAGGAGCAGTCTTTCTTCCCCCTCCCTCTACTGATTTGTCCCACCCCCGAAGTTCAAGCAGCTCTTTATGCAACAAAATAATAAATCATCTCAAGGCTCTGATTCTACAGAAAATTAATGCAAGAAAAAACTTTTTTCTTTTTACATTATGCAAGTTCCCCAACCTTTTCACCATGCAGATCTGTATGGTTGGGTTATTGTGGAGAAAGAGATGCTTCTCTGAGCAGCTCACTTGTGTCAGCTTAATGCTCTGATTTTAACTGCCAGGAGGTCAGACAGTTCATACTACCAAGCATCACAGACTAGACCATATATTATAAGAAACACAACAGACATTAAAATTTGCTACTCTATTATTTTGCTGCTACTAATAATAATTATGTTATTGTTGTTATTATTAGTAGTAGTAATAATAATTCCATGAAGTATTTACAGCTAAATTGTCATATCCATTTTATGTTACGAAGATTAATACCACACATAGAAATCAAAGAACAAACACACTTCATGATTACATACCTTTTGCTATGCTACTTTCGGTTTACTACATAAACATGCCTTCATGCATAAATAATAAAGACCAGGAAACAGTCCCTTCTACGCTCTTGGCATATATCCATCATCCAAATATGAAGACAAACATTCAGTCAGTCTGCTGTTCCATCGAACTCTTTCTCTAAAAAGAAGGGAAAACACAAGCTTTAAATGTTGCAATTAATAATGTCCAAACTAAAGATCAGGGCTATCAGTTCCATTGCTATACTATTTGAACATTTAAGGAAAAGAGAGTATGAGAGTGCAAAACAGAACAACATAACCAAGAAAACTCACTCATGTAGTCTACCTGTGAGGAAGGCAAAAGACAGAACAATCTGCACCCCAAAGTTTTCGAAGAGTTAGTACTGCAAACAAAACTTAACTGGAACTGCAGGCAAAAAGTAGCCTCAGAAATTATGACAAATGTCAGTGGATATAGCACCTTCCTGGAGTATAAAAAAAACAAAAGGAATGAGGAAACTGACTGCAGCAACAAGGAATCCACTAGTAAGATTTTACAAGAAACAAAGCTTAAAAGGCAAAGGAAGAAATAATCAACATTTTAAAAAAATAAAAACATAGAAAATGACACACATATTTGAATTTTATCTTCATGTCATCTTGATATTTTTGGCAGAAAAGGTTCATTTTTTTGACATTAACTACTCCCAAAACCCTTGCAGCAAGACGCCCCTAATTTTCATTAAGTTTTTAATTGAAAAAATAGTTGCCTTCAGTCTCAGCACCACTTACCATAACTCTAACAACAGTTTGGAAATAACTACACAAGGCAAAGGAAAAGCAGTTGATCCAATCTATCTGAAAGTTATTAAAGTGTGCAATATTATACTGGAAACAACTGAACTGGCAAAAATGTACACCAGTACATTTTAAGACACATAATACAATAATGGGAAGCCAACAATGGATACTATTGACAAATGTTAACAGAAGGTGTTTTTAAACCAGGCATCACATTTAAAAACTGAAATATAAATTCATGTTATATTGCAATATAAAGTAAGATATGTTAATGGAAACGTGATGACAGTCATGAACATTATTAATTCAAACAAGAATCCAACAGTTATTCAGAAAGACAAATCAAAAGTACTGATTTAATGAAAAAATGAACTTTACTATCATGGAATGTAAGAGCATACAGTTAGGAATAAAAACTGGAACTATAACTGGGAACAAATAAGGGCAAGACAGATCCAATTATAAAAACAAAGGATTGCTACAAAATATTACAAGCAATTGTTGTGCATATAATGAGAGTTGGCAAAATAGAGGTAGAGCAAAGACATCATAGCAGACCTACTGCAGGATGAACACAAGATACAGGAGGAAGCAAAAGGCGGAAGAAGAGGAAGAAAATATCTGTGGTCTTTAGCTGATGTATAGCACCAGCATTTGTTTAATAGTCACAAAGATAAAATGATTACAAATTAGCAGTTAATAATTATGAAGGAAGTACAACACTATCTGTTGAACTTAAAGGCAGATGTTTCAGAGGGCTGAAGTCAGAAGCCCAGAATCATGAAAAGCAGTGGGGTGCTGTTAATTTTTGAGGACTGTCCAAGTCAGGTGTCCCATGTTAGGCTACGTGTTTTTGACATTCATGACACCTCTCCTAATGTATTTGCAGCCAGTCCATAAGAAGCCTGTACCATCCCATCAGACACTGGAAAAACACTGCCTGACCCACAGAATCACAGAAGGGGTAAGATGGAAGGGACCACAAGTGGGTCTTCTGGCCCAACCTCCCTGCTCTAAGCAGGGTCATCCTAGACCACATTACACAAGACTGGACGAGGGAGATTCCACAACCTCTCTGGCCAATCTGTTCCAGTGCTCAGTCACTTCCACAGTAATGAAAGCGAAACTTCCCGCGCATCAGTTTCTGCCCATTGCCACTTATCCCTGGGCATCACTGAGCAGAGCCTGGCTCCGTCCCCTTGGCACCGCCCCCCCCCCGCCCCCAGATATTTACAGACATTGATGAGGTCCCCTCTCAATCGCCTCTTCTCGAGGCTGAACAGGCCCAGCTCCCTCAGCCCTTCCTCCTAAGAGATGCTCTAGTCTCCTAGTCACCCTCGTTGCCCTCCGCTGGACCCTCTCCAGGAGCTCCATGTCCCTCTTGCATTGAGGAGCCCAGAACAGCACTGCGGCACAGAGAGCAGCTCTGCCTTCTCTGTGGGGAGCCAAAAGAGGGGGCAAAAATCCCTGAAGCCCACGATTACCTATTGCTTTTCCCAACACCGCAGGACCTGGCAGGATCCCCGCACCCGCGGAGCCCCTTGGCGGCTGGAACACCCGGGCGGCGCCGCTCCCGCTCCTCACCCGCTTCCCGCCGGCACGGGCGGGCACCCGGGGGGAGCCCTGACGGCCCGGGGGGGAGCCCTGACGGCCCGGGGGGGAGCCCTGACGGCCCGGGGGGGAGCCCTGACGGCCCCGGGGGGGTGCCTTCACGGCCCGAGGGTATCCCTCACGCCCGGCGGGGCGGCCGCGCTGGCAGCGGGTGACAAACAGCAGCTCCGACCCCGAACTGGTCCCGCAGAGCCACCTGCGACACTCGCCCCGGCGCCGTGCCGAGGGCACTGGGACAAGCGGGAAGTAGCCGCCGCCGCTACGCTGTGGCTGCCCGGCCGCCCTCCCTCCCCCACGGCCCTTCCAAAGGGGGGGAGTGCGCCCGGTCACCGCCCGCCAGGACCCTCTCCCCGCACGGGTCGCCCTCTCCGCCCCTCCTCTCTCTCCTCCCTTCGCCTCCCCTCCCCTCGCCTGCTCCGCGCCGCGCGGGCGGGGCCGTTACCCGGGACAGCTCCGGATCCTCTCGTGGGGCGGGGCGGGACGAACCAAACCGAACGGAACCGGAGCGTGACGAGCCGGGCCGGGACAGGCGGAAGAGCCGCCGCGGGCGCGGCGCGTGCGCGCTGCGGGCCCGGGGGGGCCGTTTCCGTGAGCCCGCCCGCCATTTTCGGGGGGGCGGGGCGGAGCCGCCGTGGGGGCTCTGCTCGCACATTCCGAGCGGGACAAAGCCGAGCCTGTCGGGCTCCCACTGGGACGTGAGTTCCTGCCGGTGTTCGCGAAGGCTGAGCCGAGGCGGGACACCTCGCGCGGTGCTCGGGCACGCCTGTTCCTGTGGGCCCGGTGCGCGGGCGTCGCTGGCGCAGCGAGGCGGGAGTTTCAAACTCCTTGGGCGGAGAGCCCGCGCGTCTGGGTATTCTTCGTCTCGGGCGTCTATTGAGTTTCGTCTGCGTCAGGAGAGAGAAATCCGTAGGAGTTTGAGGAGGAATCTGTAAATGCTTCTGTGCTTCAGGTGCGCAGGTTTATTGGCAGAGTTGTGCTGGGATGGCGCAGAGAGAGGGGAGTTTTTAAAAACCTGTTGTGGGCTTTTTTGTTTCCTCCGTCATGTTTTTCCTCCCCCTCCTCCCTTTTTCCTCCTCCCCCGTGTCATAAATCATACTCTTGGCTGTCTTTTCTACTAACCTTTGATAATGTGTGAGAGTATCTCTGTATGAATTTCAGCGTTAAATGCTTTCTGTAGTTATTTTTAAGTAGTTGGCTTTTCTGGTTGTGTAAAAAATTTTGTAGAGCAGAATGCAGTCTTAAAACATTGTTAAAAAAACATAAAATCTGTGTAGTTTTAACAAATTCTGGCCTAATGAGAAATTAAAACTTATTTTTGGTTTGGGTTTTTTTTTGTTTATTTGTTTATATTTACTGTTAATGATTTTCAGTGATTTCTAAGTATATGAAAATAAATCAAATTCTTTCTCCCTCCTTTGGGAGTTGCCATCTCTCTGAGCAGGTTGGGGGCTTGTGGTAAGTGAAGCTCTTAAATAAAATCTGAGTAGACAGATAATTTGTATTAGAAGTAGTTGAGCTATTTGTATAAAGGATCCAGATTAACTGTTTACAAAATACACTGAAAAAAGCAAAGACTGGTAGGTCTTGCAGGCTTTCATAACTCATCCTTAGATATATATTGAGTGTGGATATGGAAAACTTTAGTCCTCAAATAACTATACTTTATTGTAATGAAAAAGTGGGCCTTTGAGGTTTTTTTGTTTGTTTGTTTCCATTTTTTATACTTTTTTTTCTTTACGTTCCATAAGATTACAAATAATAAAGTGTTTGCAGTGTATTTGTCTTTCCCATCAATGAAGTACCATATGATATTCCACAACAGTATTTAGCAATTCACTAACACCGTTATTTTTTAAGAAATTGTATTGATGCAAACTGGCAGAAACCAAATGACAATATCAGAACGGTATCTCCCTTCTTTGCTAGGTGTTCTCTCACTGAAGCTGAATATCACACTTGTCTTTTGGGAAGGTTTGGATATCTCCCCTGTGCATCAGGGAAAGTGATCATCCTGGACTTCAAGAAATTATACCAAGTATTTGCATGCTTAATTTGTGCTTTTAGCTTATTTTATGTGCTTGAGGTATAACAACAAAAGCAACACATTATGCTCTGTATCCATACAACTAAAATCAGGTTGAATGATTGTAGTAGTTAAACAGATGGATTAGAGATGTGATTTCTGTTGAAAGTAAATCTTTATGTGAGAACTTGATTTAAAAGCAACCAAGGAATTGATTAGCTGCCTTGCTTTAAAACAGATTTAGAGTATAACAGAATGCACCCTCCAAAGACAGGCTTGCTGCTCTGACAGACTGTGATGATGTTAAAGGTGAGAGACTGCTGAATTGAACATGGTTCAGTTCCTCACGTGTCTTAAGCAGATCTCCAAGCACTGGTAGGTCACTTAGTCATGATTTATTCAAAGAGCATTTTCATTTTTCTGTGTATACAGTAATGTCAAAATCAAAAAGAAAGAAATACAAAACATGTCAGATTTTATTTTTATCTTATAATATTGAGGAGGAAGATGGAAAACAAATAAGCATGAGACAAACCTTGTGCAATAAGACAGTGCAGGAATAGATTGGCATTGTTAGGGGGGAAAAGCAGAGTATGTGCTAGAGGCCTTGGTTAGAACTGGCAAAGGGTGGAAACCAGAAGAATAGTGAAAAAGGAAAATCCAGTGATGGGGTAGCATGGAGAGTAGTGCTAGTTAAATAAGAGACAAAGAGATATACCACCTAATGGTTGTATGTTTTCAACTGGCGTGCATTATAGATAATGCAGTCACACAATACCAAAATGAACACAATACAAACACACTGATGTGCGTCTGCAGTCAGGGTGTTAAAAATGTCAAAACATTTGTTGGAAGGGACCTGGGGAGCTCAGTGTGCTTCAAACTGAGAAGAGGTGGTGGTTGGTGGAGCCCTGAGAACTTTGTAACAAGCCAGGTCATCCCAATCCAGTTTAGGGACTCTTTGGCCACCTAAAGTAGCAAATTGTTTGGAAACATGTAACGTTTTTCTGATGAATGTATATATTCCTTGCTAATAAATATCTGTACCGTCTTGAGCCAGGTGTGCAATTATCCCCTGTGCATCTGGTGCCATAACAGAGTGATGCCTGCTTCTTAATACTGCATTGATGTTAAGGAGTTTTATTCCCGAATTTTGATGACAATCACTGCTGATTCCACCAGTATTGGTTAAAGCAGTAGGACAGTATGCCAGCTGGATGTTAAGAATCTCCAAGAATGGAGATTCTGCAGCCTCTGAGCAAGCACTGCTGCAATACCCTCTGTCATTTTTTCCTGAATTCTAACTTGAATTTCCCAAGCCAGAATCTGTGGGTGTTGACCCTTCTAACATCATCTTGGAATGCTAAGGAAAGTGTCAGTTCTGTTGTGATTGAAAATATTCTTCAAGTAGCTTTAAGCTACCTCTGTTTGAATGGAAAAAATTTAATGTGGATCCTACTTTAAATCAGGAATCCTATGTTTTTTCTTTTTTTTTTTTTAATAAAGCTTGGATTGTGCTTATGTGTAAGGGACACATTAGACTTGGAAATGAATAATTTTTATTGGTTTTTTTTCCTCAGCTGAGTTTGTTTTTATTTGTATTCAACTTATTAGTAATGCAGATGTTCAGTCCAAAGAAGGTATTTAGTTATAAACCATCTGTGAACTGGAGTCACTACACACTTAGAAAGCTTGATTGCAAGTGTTCTTGGCTCATAAAAGTAGAACTGATTATGACAAATATATTTCTTTTTCAAACCTCACGTTCACATTATGTTACACACATTTCATGTTATGTTCTGAAAGTATTTTACTTTTTTTGGTCTTCACAGGTAAAACCTTCCTTCTGACAACAAAGAAGCTAGAACAATGGGAGTGACTAATCTGTGGCAAATCCTTGAGCCTGTGAGACAACCTGTCAACCTGAGCAGTCTCAAAGGAAAAACACTTGCTGTTGATTTAAGTTTGTGGGTTTGTGAAGCACAGACAGTTAAAAAGATGATTGGAGTAGTTACCAAGCCACATCTCAGGTATGGTATCCATATAAATTATTGCAACCAAAATTCTTGGAACTGTATAATTTAGGTATGTTACTTATTCAAAAAATTTTAAGATTACCTATGAAATCCATATGATCAGTGTATTGATTCAGTTATTGCTTATGTTACATATGTAAAGGCTTTGAAGTGAATTCTAGTTCGACCTCATGGTGAAATAAATATGTTTAAGTCATTCTTCAGGCATTTGAACAACCATGACGAATATATGTATTTTAAATTTAAATGACTCACCCGAGTTATGAGCATGTCTAAGCAGCTATAACTTCAAAGCACTGTTTTCTGCAAACAGTGCTGACAAAAATGAAAATATATACAATTTTTGATCAGTGACATTGGTTATCTCAAGAATACTGACTTACTGCATGGTGTTACATGCTCTTGTGACTTCTATTGAATTGGACATGATATGAAATATTGGCATCTTCTGAGAATAATTTCTTAATGTATTACGTGCTTATGACCCCAAATGGATAATTAACTATAAAGCTTGAAGCATGACCAAAGCTTACCCTTTTTGCACATAACACCTGTACAAAATTAAATCTAGAGTAATGGTCTCTCCATGTCAGTCAAAGAGGCAAATGTTTAAACTACTTCTTTTGAAAGATTGATCCTGGAGATACTGGAAAAAGCATATGCTGTTTGATATTATTGCTCTTAATTTTACTCTTGTAATAAATATTTGGTCTACTAATGCCTTGCAAAATTCCATCCCTCAGTGATGCTGGTTTGCATATGAAATAAATTGGCATGGGAATGCTATCTGTAAGTCTGTCTAATACTACAGCATTCAGTCACTTCAGAATCTGATGTACCCGTACTGATAGATTTGGGATTAATATTTGATATAAAAGAATCAATGTAGATATGTGTTTGGAAGCAGACTTTGAATATTGAATGGTTTTTTTATTAAGCCTTTT